GACCGGGGACCCCCACGCCGCAGACTTGGCATTGAGATCCCCGAGCAGCAGCACCGGGCGAGGATTGTACCGGTTCACGACGGCACCCAACTCGACAAGGAAGCTCTCGAAGTCGGCGAGGCTCCTGTTGGGCGAGAAATACGCCCCAACAGTGCCAATGCCGTCCACGAGGGCGGCCACCCAGCCGTGACCTCGGGACGGGTCAGCAAGAGCCCCGCCAATGATGGCCACCGTGCCGTCCAAGTCCCCCGCCCAGTTATCTCGGAGGGGGACATAGTACGGCTCGGCGACCACAGCCACATGAATCGACCACTCCGCCATGCTCTGGATCAAGAGATCCTGAGCCCTGGCAGAGTGGTTGATATTGCCCTGGAGGAAATGGAATTGCGCCATTACGCACAATCCATTCCCTCGGCACTCCTGGGCCGGGAGTCGGCCGAAGAGCCACCAGGCTGAGGTACAGCCTTGGTTGGCCTCCTCTTTTTCTTGCCCTTCTTTTGGGCGGGGGCACCACAGGCCTTCCCGGCCATGCTGTGGTCCGCGGGTCTCCCTGCAGCTGTACAGAGGCTGCAGTTTGGCTTCGCGGAGCACTGGGCCGCTCTGTGGCCGGGCTCACCGCAGCGGTAGCACTGATCGCTGCGGTTAATTGCGGCGGTGCACCGCACCCCGACGTGCCCAACCTCAAGGCATCGGTAGCACCGCATAGCCCTAGGTTGCAGCAGCTTCACACGTGCCGCAACCCACCCCACCAAAATCCGACCGCTGTCGGCTATCTTTTTCGCCGCCGCTGCCGGGCACTTCAGCCAAATGGTGCCGAGCCCAGCAGCGCCGACGCGAATCTCGCCAGCCCGCACGTCACCCGGCGGACAGCCACTGCTTCGAGCAACGGCCGCCACGACCTCCTCTGAGGTCGTCGAGTCGTCCAAGCCATCGACGCGCAGTTCTGCGGTCTTGACGGGCCTGGACACCCGAACGTCTTCCTCTTTGAGGACCTCCCTCAGCTTGGCGGCCAGGATGTCCGCCTTCTCCTTGCCGTCCGGACCCGCAACCTCGAACAGCCGCGCCCCCGTAACCGCCGACTTCATCCTGAAGCCAGTCGGTGTGCCAAGGTCGGGGAACGCGACTTTGGCTTTCGCCTCCGAGAGGACCTCCTTATAGGTAAGGCCCCTCTCGATAGCCCCGGGCTGTAGTGTGATCACCACAGCCGCAGAGCGTGGGGCCCTACTCTTCCGAGTCCTCCGCTTTTTCTTCTTGGCAGGCGCGGGTGCGGGTGCCGGCAGCGCCGCCTTCTTCTTACGGCCCTTTTTGACGACCGTCGTCCAAGCCTCTGTGAGGGAGCCGGGCGCGGTCGCCGGGGCCGCAGATGAGTCGGCAGGTGGGACCGAGGAATCCTTGACGGGCTTCTCGGCCCTCTCTACGGCCTTGGTCGCCGCGGCCTTCCTCCTTCTGTCCGCCGCTAGCGGAGGCCGGAGGTTCTGGGCCGGAAGGAGCCTCGACTCCAAGGCCTCCAGGCGGGCATTCATCATGCCCCCACATTGCTGCATGCAGATGCGGATGATTTTTTCCATCTCCGCATCCTGCGCAGGTGCAGGGGCAGGGGTCGACGGTGGGGCCGCAACCGCTGGGGAGCCGGCAACTGCAGGAGCCGCAACCTTTTGTGCGGCAACCTCTCTCTTGAGGTCCTCCAGCTCAGCTCGGAGACGGCCGTTCTCCTCCCACAGCTTTGCCGTCTCCTCAGAGCTTGTTCTGGCAAGGAGGACCTCAACCGCCTCCTTTATGCCATCAGCCGCCTCCTTCAGGGCGCGCGTGAACGTGCCCTTCAAGCTGCCCGACTTAGTGGCAACTTTCAGGACAACATCAACGCCGTCCAGGACCTGGCGACTGAGTGCCACCGCCGTTGGTGCTTCCCCGGAAGCCGATTGAGCAGCCCGCCGCTCTCGGGCTTGACGAGCCATCTCGCCCACCTCGTCGGACGCAACCGCTCTCCGCTGCGCCCGCCTTGCAGCATTATCCTCCGCTTTGTTGCTGTCCAGCACAAGCGGGGACGCAGCGGAATCTGCACTCACATCAGCGACGGAAGGCTCGTCGCTTTCCATCTCGAGCTGATCCAGGCGGACCACCGGAATCGGCGTAGCAGGCCGTAAAAAGCGACCCCTTTGGTCGCGCTGCGGCAGACGAGTGGAGGCTCCACTCGCCACTGCGCGACCACCTCTCCCTGCTGTTGGCACTTTTGCGGCCGACAACTCCTCTTCGCTTGAGGAGGGATTTACGCTCTCCCCGTGCGAGCGCTTCCTCCAAAATTTGGAGGGAGCGCGTAAGCCTCCTCGGCTCTCGCTGCCACTTGTGGCAGACGGATCTCCCTTCTCCTTCTCCGCCGAAACCGGCCCATCATCATTTTTATTTTTATTATTAGTTTTTTTAAAGTGTTCCATTAGGTTCCCACGAGTAGTGGAGGAAATAGAAGTCCACCCCGGCAGTGCCCCGTACCAGGGTAAGCCTAAATACTGTAGGGGGTCGGCAGGTACCCTACAGTGGAAGCGCTAACGACTGGTAACCCCACCAGCCATTCATCCCATCGCCGCGCCTCGAAACTTAGGATTGGGGGTTTTTTATCTTAGAGGTGTCCTTCCTCTGGGCCGGGCGGTTAAGCCAAGCCCCCGACGGCGGCACTATACGTGCCTCCGTCCGCTGTCCGGCCAACCCGATTCAGCGAACCCGCCGGAAGCTCTCCCGCCAGGAGTGATCCGTGGAGAGAGAGCAACTACCGCATCGGTGCGCCTGCACCGCAGCGGCGTTGGCCACGTCCTTTGCCAATCGACGACAGTCGATCGGACAGGAGCGACCCCATCTCCGACGTTCCTCCACAGAGCCCTCTGCAATCAGAGGGACACGTGGAGCAACCGTCGTGGAGCAAATATGCTCCCCACTCGCAGAAATTCGCCACAGACAATAGCCCCTCCAACATGGAGAGAGTATTGCCTGTACCCAGGGTGCACCGGCCAGACAACTGCTCCTTCCCCCGAACGTATTCATGAGGAACTAGCAGCCGTCAGGCACACGAGGAAGTTTTCTGCACGCACCCCAACCTAACCTAACCTAACCTAACCTAACCAGTACGAATCGCGCCACGCCCGAGAACACGTGCTTTTTATACTCGCTCCCGCTTTAAAAAATAGTTTTCGTGGGTTTTTACAGTGTTACAGTGACGTGCGATACGCCAAAAGTTGCGCATTTGCGAGGCGCTCACGGCGACATATCACATGTTAAGTTGTGAAGTGGCAGTGAAGCACAAGTAGTGAAAAACCACAAATTTGGAGGTTATTTTTCTATAAATTTTTTAACTTCTGTTCATAACCAAGTGAATAGTGAAGTGAGGAGCGGATAAAAGGTGCCAGGAGGTGGGCAAAGAGTGCCCCCATACGCCGCAGCCTTCAAGTCCACCCGGACGCGCGCCCCGGAAGTAGGAAAACATTTTTTCCATTTCCCACGTGGCGACCAAATCACGAAGGAGGCTAGCGGGGAGGCTGAAAATTTGACCACAGGAACATCTCATCGTGCCATCCCCTTTTCTGCAAAAAGAAAAATTTTTTGTGAGTCCAACAATTAATAACAACTTATTAAAATTCCAAACTTTAGGCATTAATATCTGCCTTTCCATAAAACTTTTTTAAATTCTTCAACTGCAGTTCGTTGCGCGCTCCAGCGAAGAACACACGTGCGAAATTCCAAGAATTTTGGACAATTTTTAATGTGTACATAATTAAAAAAGTAAAATTTTTAGAAATAGAATTTTTTTTATGTGTTATTTTTAGAAAAAATTTAGGACTCACTAGGCATTAGATAGATGCATATTTGAGACTATTTTTAAGATTTTTTGTGTATTTTTATATCATTCCAATCCGGAGATACATGATTTTTTGTGTGTTTTGTAAATTAAATTAAAACAGGTAGAAATTCCTCGATTCTGACCGTGGGGCCGGGTCTATATAGTCCATTTGGACCTGTATAAGCCCAAACTCGGTGCTCCTAGGACTAGAATTGAAGAATTTCGTAAAATCCGCCATTTTTGTTATTATAGTTATAAATTTCAATTGACCGTAGCTCCGGACTGGAAGGTCGCAGCGGTTTGGGGTTTTCGCTGTTTGGTCCCCTAAACGCCCCTTTAGGCAATTAGTATACTTTTGGCCAGATTAGCCACATTTCATTTTCTTGTTCTAAAACTATATTGGCAAGGAAGCCGAGGTGACTCTGAGCTGTCTGGAGGAAACCCGGACTCTCTACGACCACGGGTTGCGGAGAAACGGGCTTCCAAAGTTGGAGTTTGACGGCTCGGCGGCCATCTTGTTTAGGGTCAGACGGCCATAACTCCACAACCGCTCAAGCTGCGAGTTTGCGGTTTTCGCTGTAGCTATCTGGGGGGCCTTGGCTACCTGCTCCTGAAATTTCAGGGCAATAGAAGCCAAAAAATTTTCGGGGCCTGAAAACCACATCAGGGCGTGGGGGAGGTCGGGGCATTTGTGGGGAGTCCAAGCTCGAGTATTCTGGGGCGATTAGAGCCGGAGAGACGGCCGTCCAAACTTTAACAGGCGGCCATTTTGAAAAATTTTAACAGCCTATATCTTCGGAACGCGTCGTCCCAGCGGGTCGGGGTTTCTTCCCGGTGCCTTGGCGCCCCCTACTGTATACAACTCGGTGGCTTTTGGGGAAATCGGAGGTTCAAAAATTTGGGGGGCCAAATTGGCCACCAAGAGATAGATTTTGTCGGACTGAGCCAGGTGAACCCAAACACGGGCAAAATCTTCATTTTTTTCTCTTGTGTACATATATATTTTAAATAGTTTCAGCGTGTATTTTGCTGTGTAAACCGACCCACATATCCTACCCTGAACTTGACAGTGGCTCATTCGTACACAATAGTTATAAATTTTTTATTAGTTTAATTTAATTTTTTATTAGAGACTCCACATAGAGACCTCACCCAAAGCAAGTCGCAAAACGACATGGACGCTGCTCCGGTGCCCGAGGGCTCCGGGCCGGGGGGGGTTTTGGAGGGGGACCGACTCCACGCCAGTGGGGCTGTAAAAAAGTCAGCGAGGAGCGAACAGGGGGCCCGGACGAGGCCGGCTAGGCCACCTAAATCGGTTAAGTCGGCGTCGGGAAGCCTACGCAAGGCTACCACCATCAAAAACGCCCAAACCACCGCGAGGCGCAACCAGGCAGACCTTGCCCGAGGGTTTCTTGGGGTGGATCAGCCAGCTTCCCTTGACCCGGCCGGATCTTCGGGGGACTCGGACCAGGGAAGGGTTGAAACTCCATACCTCAGTGCGGAGTCCCTCAGCCCAAAGAGGAGCCCGGGCAGGCTGGAATTCTGGTCTATGACCAGCTCCCCGCAACACCGGGACCGTCCACAGGGGAGCGACTGTTCAAACTGGTCTGAGGGAAGTTTGGGGACCGAGGGGGGTATGGCCGACCCGCGGCGGGAGCCGGCGCCACTAGTGCTGGGGCATGATAGCGACACCGACGAGGCTCTCTCCGATGCAGACAGCAACAAGAGCTAGAGGAGTGGGCGAGCAAGCATGCTGCCGCCTGTGGGGAGATTCGTCGGTGTCGCTATGGACTTGGCCACCATACGGGCGAACAAGCTGCTCCAGGATGGTAAAGAGGCCCTGGAGAAGGCAACAAATATGCGGAGGGAGTGCAAAGCCGAGGCACTGGAGTGCCTTCAAGCACTCTATGAAACTGTTCTCGGCATCGCAGACTCCAGAAACCGGCATCGGGTGGCGCTGGAGGAGGAGCGCACGCGCGCGGCAAAGGAGCTTGTTCGGGTGGAGAGGGCCCACGCTCGAAAGCTGGCCGAGATTGGCAGCCTGACTGGAGACAGGCTGGCAGAGACCCAACACCTCATAGCGGGGCTACGTGGACTCGTGGAGGGGGTTCAGAAGTGGCTGAATTTTGAGATGGATGCTCCCATTAAGATCATAGGGAGCATCCACCTGGAACTACAGAGGGTGATGGCCGGGCGCCTTCCGCAGCACGGATTGGAGGGGGATGCGGGGGGGGCCTCGCGGGTTCCGCAGACTTTGAACCCCACCCGGACACCCGGCCCGGACCCGGATTTGCTCTCTCTGGGGTCGAAAATGCAGGGACTTGCAGACCAGTTTAGGGCCCTGCAAGTCGATATTGACAGGTGGCGCCTCGAGATGGACGAGATGACACGTGGCCGGGCGGGTGCTGACTGCTTCCGCGGGGAGCCTGCCATGCCTGAGAGCGACTGCACCCGGGGAAAGATGGAGGACATCACCCAGCAGCTCAAACAGCTACGAGAAGCGGTGGACCTAAACACCAGAGCGGTCGAGAGGCACCAGGCCCTGTCGCCGCCCTCTCCCCCGGAGGATGCGCGTGGGGCATGCTTGCTGACGGAGGGGCCTGCGATGGACCTACTGCGGTCGATCAGGTCTGAGATCGCGGAGGTGAGGGATCTCATCCTCATAGAGCCCAGAGCACCTAGCGCTGGGACGGACCTCGGTGGCGAGCTGGCACGTTCGGATACCAGGGAGGTGGTGAGGAGCGCCATCGGACCTCTTGAATCCAAGCTCGACGACCTGGCAGGTCGTACCTTGGAGATCGGAGAGACGGTGCGAACCTACGCAGGGGTACTCAGGAGTTCCCCAAACCCCAGACACGGACCAGTCGATGATCCAGCGGACCAGGACGCCTCGTATGGCCTCATTGTGGAGTCCATCAACCCACAGCACTCCGGTGGAGACGTCATCGACGCGCTGAAAAAGGGCGTGGACGTCGTCTCTCTCGGGGTGGGGGTAAAGGGACTCAGAAGAGTAAGGAGGGGCAGGGTGGTCGCTGACTGCGCGACGCCGGAGGAGCGTCGTACTCTTAGAGATGCCATCAGAGCGTCCAACACTGGACTCTCGGCGGTGGACGCCCAGAAAAAACAACCACACTTGCGTCTGATCGGAGTCGCACATCACCTTAGCGACGAAAAGATGAGCACGGCGATATTGAGCCAGAACAGCGGCCTCCTGCGAGAAGTCCCAGAGCAGCAAAGGAGTGCCAGGGTGGTCCGTAGGGTGAAGGGTAGAACGGGGGAAAAAAGTACGGTCATAATGGAGGTAAGCCCACAGGTATGGAGGGCCCTCCAAGGTGGAAAGGTGCGCATTGGGTATCAGATGGTTCCCGCAGTCGACCAGTCCCCGGTAGTCCAGTGCTACCGTTGCTTGGGATTTGGTCACCGAGCCACTGAATGCCAGGGGAAGACTCCAACCTGTGGCTACTGCTCCGGAGACCACGACACCCGAACCTGTACCCGCAGTAACACAGGTCCTAAGTGCGCAAATTGTGGGGAAGGATCCAGCCATCCGGCATACTCCAGCGAATGCCCGATCTGGAGGAAGTGGGACAGAATAGCTCGCAACGCAGTCAGCTACTGCTAAAGGCACCCGGGGACATGAAATACGGGTCGTACAGGCGAATCTGGGCAGAGGATTCGCAGCCACTAAAGACTTGTTGAGAACAGCCTCGAGGGAGGGTATATCCCTCCTGCTATTACAAGAACCCTACGTAGGCGCCACAAAAAAGCTGGAGGTGTCAGGCGCCCAGGTATTTCAGGGCGGTGCGGGGAACGAACCATCTAAGGCCGCGGTGGTAGTACTCGACGACCGACTCCGCGCGTCCATGGAGCCGGATTGCGCTGCTTACAACATGGTAGGGATCAGGATCTTTATTGAGGGCCTGTGCGTGGGCGCCGTGAGCGTTTACTTGGAGGGGGACTCCAGCTTGGACGAGGACCTTTCCAAACTAAAGACCATTAAGGCCGCGCTGCGTACTGACTACTGCCTTGTCGCTGGAGACGTGAATGCCAAAAGTCCCTGGTGGGGCAGCGAGGAGGAGGATAGCAGAGGGGCGTCGCTGGCGGAGTTTGCGGCGCAGGAGTCACTCCAGGTGATAAATGAGGGAACCACGCCTACGTTCTCGGCGTTTCGACAGGGTCGCCACTACAACAGCATAATAGACGTTACCATGGCGTCGGACCGACTAGCACCAAGGATCACTAACTGGAAGGTGGACGCTGACTTGTCGGACCTCTCAGACCACCGCCCCATTTCTTTCTGCGTATCGGCAGATAAAGAACTCACTGTGCTCCAAAATACATCAACCAAGCTATTCAACACTAAAAAGGCGGACTGGGAGCTTTTTGATGACGAGCTGACTGCGAACCTGGACGAGCGTGGACTGACCCCTGAGAGAGCGAGGACGGTCTCGACGTCGGAAGATTTGGAGGAATTGGTGGAATCACTCACCGGCTGTATTAGGGAGGCCTGCAGGGTGGCGATTCCTGCAATGTCGAGCGGGAGGCGACGGCCCCAAGCGAGTTGGTGGGCTCCTGAGATCGAAGATAAGAAGAAAACAGTGAACAGGCTGAGGAGCAGAATAAGAAACGCAAGCTCTGAGCGACGACAGTACGTAGTCGATCGATACCTGGAGGCGAAAAGGGCCTACAAGGAAGCTATCCAGGAAGCTATCACAAGAAGCTGGAGGGAATTCTGCGGCAAACAGGAAAAGGAGTCAGTGTGGGACGGCATTTACAGAGTCATCCGTAAATGCGGGGCGATGAAATCAGACGAGCTGTTGAGGGACCCTGCTGCCCGGGGCACTACACTAACTCACATCGCATCGGCGCAGCTGTTAGCGGAAACTTTTTATCCGAGGGACACGGAGGAGACCGACACCTCGGAACAGCGAGAGTGCAGAGCCAAAGTTGCGCAGGCATTCAAGTTCATAAATGAAAGGCCAATCGAACTCACAAACTTTACCGCTGCGGAGGTTTGGACGGTGTTGGGGAGGATGAACCCGAGGAAGGCCCCGGGGGAGGATGGCTTCACCTCGGACATCTGTTCGAGAGTGATGCAGAGGAACCCGGCACTTATGCTGTCCTTGTTCAATGCCTGTCTGGGGCTGGGCCACTTTCCACGCCTATGGAAGAGAGCAATTATCCGCATCATTCCCAAGCCCGGCAAAGAAACTTACACGGAGCCAAAATCCTATAGACCCATTGGACTATTGCCGGTACTTGGAAAATTACTGGAGAAGCTCTTTGCGACGAGAATGCTATGGACACTGGGAAGCAAGTCTAGGCTGAGCCCCAGGCAATTTGGATTCATGCCCCAGCGCAGCACGGAGGACGCTCTATACGAGGCGGTGAACATGGTTAGGGCACTCAGGGCGCAGGGGAAACTTGTGGTCGTCATCTCCCTGGACATCGAGGGGGCCTTTGATAACGCCTGGTGGCCCGGAGTGTTGGGAGTGCTCTTGAGGAAGCGAGTTGAAACCTCAACCCTAAGGCTGTTGTTCAGCTACCTCAGCGACAGGGAGGTGACCGTGCAATACGCGGGACACACGGTTACAACAGCAACCAATAAAGGATGCATACAGGGATCGACCTGTGGTCCCCTCCTATGGAACGTACAGCTAGATCCGCTGCTTGAAGCCGCTGAGCACCTGAAGGCCCACGTTCAGGCGTTCGCCGATGACATTCTGGTTGTCGCTTCGGGAGGGACCACGGAGGAGGTTCGCTTAAACGCCCAGGAGGCACTGGACGCCGTCGCGAGTTGGGGGAACAGCTACAAGATGCGATTTGCTGCCCACAAAACTCAAGCTGTCCTCACCACGCGGAAACTAAAGGCCACGGCACCGCATCTGACGCTAAACGGCACAACCATCCGGTTCCAGGGGTCCCTCAAGGTCCTGGGACTCACGGTAGACCACCAGCTTAATTTTAGGGAGCATTTGGCGGGCGCACGCGGGAGAGCGGTAACGCTTTATAAAAGGGTCGCGAGAACGGCCTCGGCGGGGTGGGGTTTAAACTCCAACGTGCTGAGGATAATCTACCAAACCGTGGTTGAGCCGACAGTCCTGTATGCCGCCAACGTATGGGCAGAGGCCGCCAAAAAGAAATATAACCGGGTGATACTGGAGAGAACGGCAAGACAATTTGCAATCCTCATCTCAAAGGCTCACCGGACCACCTCGTTCACATCGGCAGCTGCCCTTTCAGGAATACTCCCTCTCGACCTGAGAGCACAAGAACAGCTCAAACTGTACGGGGTCCGGAGGGGGCGGCCTCTGCCTGAACTGCGTGACTACGACATGGAAAGGCGTATCGGCCCGTTCGATTTGCCCCATCCCGCACTGAGGGGGGGGCTCGCCTACCTGCGGGCGTCGTCGGTGGCGGACCTGGAGCAGCTGGATAAGGATGGAATGCAAATATACACAGATGGAAGCAAAATAGAGGGCCGCGTTGGGGGCGGAGTGACCATATGGCGTGGAGGACAGGAGGTCAGGCATGCTCGTTTCAGGCTCTCTGATCACTGCAGCGTGTTTCAGGCGGAACTAGTGGCCATAGATAGAGCCCTCACGATGGCCCGCAAATCACATAGGCACGAGAAGATATGCATCCTGAGCGACTCGAGATCGGCCCTTGAAACCTTGGCGGATCCTGCCTCCCTTCACCCAATCACCAACAAAATTAAGGGCAAGCTCGCTGAACTACGGGACGAGGGAGTTGAAGTCCAGTGGGTCTGGGTTAAGGCACACGTCGGACTGCCGGGGAATGAGAGGGCCGACGAACTCGCCAAGGAGGGGGCCCTAAAGGACAAAAGAGCCCCAGTGTACACGGACTTCCCACTATCCGCGGCGAAGCGCCTTATCAGAGCTGCAACGATAGATGAGTGGCAGCAGAGATATGTGGAGTCCACAACTGGGAGGATTACGCGTCTCTTTCTCGGGGATGTGCGGAGGGCCCGTAAAATCTTTGGTGCTCACAACCACACCAACTTAATGACACAGCTTCTGACCGGCCATGGGGGCATCAGAGCGTACCTCCACAGATTTAAGCTTGCGGATTCCCCGGGCTGCATCTGCGATGGCGTGACTGCCGAGACAGTAGAGCACATCCTAATACACTGCCCGAGATTCGCGGCCCTACGACACGACTGCGAAAGCAGCATGGGAATCAATCTCAGCGAGAGCAATCTGGCTGAGATCATGGGGCGAAATGAGAGCAGGGCGGTGTTGTTGAGCTACGGCTCCAAAATTATGAAAATTGCGGGCAGAGCAAATGGGTCGAAAGGGTGATGGCAAATAATGTATTGGCAATTCGATTCAATTTGATTTAATTTAATTTAATTTGATTTGGTTTAATTTATTAATTTGTTGGTAATTCATTGATCTAATATTGTATGTAATTTATATAGTCTATTGATTTTATTAATTTGGAATTATTAATTTTGATCATTTTACCAAATACATCGATTCAATCAATTTTATCGAGTTAAATTGTAAGAATTGATCTAAGCAATTTATTTAGTCTTTTCATTCTATCGATTTGGAATTCATTGATTCTGATTATTTACCGGATTTTAACAATATGATTTCGTTTACTTGTGTGATTTACATTACTTATTGATTTCATTGATTTCGAATTTATTGATTTTGATTATTTTATTGATTATATATCAACTTGACCACTTTTATTAAGTTTAATTGTGGGGGTCGGTTCATGCGACTCAAATAATATATTGATTTTATTAATCCTATTAGCTATTATCGATTGTCGTGTTTAAGTTATTGATTAATGATATTAGGTTAAGTGTATGAATTGTGTAATGTATATTATATGATTAATAAGTCTAATTCATTGTGACTCGGGCAATTGACTCAGTTTGAGCTAACTTCACTGAGTTTAATTTTATGAATTGTATGTAATGCTATTCAGGTACATAAAATTCGCGTGTAAGATGTAATATATTACTCGATAAATGATGTATAATAGGATAAATGATTCAGATGCTTCATTGGAAGGTACTGCAGGAAAGTCTCTCCATACTATAAAACAAGTTTAGTTGTAAATCACTTGATCCAAAAAAAAAAAAAAAAAAAAAAAAAAAAAAAAACCTCCGCCGCCCCCAACTCCGATTCCCTGACGGGCGGAACATCGACCCCGCTGCCCCCGTCGTCTCCGGCTGATGCAGCCATCGACGGGGGTGTGTGCTCCGCCCGCTGCGGGAATAGGCCCTCGACCACTTCCTGCAGGAAGCTGGGCTGGAGAGTCTCCGTAAGGGGGGGGCCCGACGTGCGGAGCTTTTGACGCACCGCACGATAAGGGCGACCCCAGGGGTCACGCTCGAGACTCTCCAGCATCTCCTCTCTACACGCATCCTTGGCGCGGCAGATGGCCAGCCTCAGAGTTTTCCGAGCTTCTCGGTACTCCTCATGAAGCCGGTCCACCTCCTCACCGACCCCGCGGTGACGTCGCCGACTACGGGTGAGGGACCTCCGGGCACGTACACAGGCCGCACGGAGGTCCGCCAACTCCTGGGACCACCAGTAGACCTCCTTCCTTGGAGGCCGACAACCACGAACGCGGGGCATGGCCGCATCGCAAATCTGCGTAATCGCATTGCAGAAGCGACCAGCCCCCATGTCGACCTCCTCGGTCGGGGCCTGCGGAGACAGCCAAGAGTAAATAATGGCCGCCTCCTCTAGTAGGTCCCTGTCGAGCTTGGCGATAGCCCACCGCGGGAAGCGGGAAGGGCGCCGCGCCGCGTGACCCCTACTGGGGTCCTGGGACCGGGAGAGCTCGAATCGGATGTACAAATGATCCGAGAGCGTCTCGACCTCTTCCAGGACAGACCAGTTCCTTACTCGTGCGGCGACTGCAGGGGTAGGGAACGAAAGGTCCACTATCGACCCCCCCTGCTGTCGCACGCACGTGTTGGTGGAGCCCCTGTTCAGCAAACAGAGGCCCACCGACGCCGCCCACTCCTCGACGGCTTCGCCCCTGGCGTCCGTCGCAGGGGAACCCCACGCAATGGACTTTGCGTTGAAGTCCCCCAGCACGAGGACGTGCCCAGACACTAGTCGCCGCATCGAGGCCTCCAAGTTGTTAAGGAAGACCTCGAAGTCGTTCAAGCTCCGGTTGGGGGAGAAATATACACCATAAATGGTGATTCCCCCCCAATCGGCGGCAACATATCCAGTACCCTTGTCTCTTAGCGACAAGGGCGGGGAATGAGCCGCCGTGGAGCCGACGACTGCCACGGAGCCGTCCCGGTCACCCATCCAGTTTGGACGGGGAGGGACAAAATAGGGCTCCGCGACTACGGCAACACCTATCGACCACTGTGCCATGGTTTGCAGGAAGAGATCCTGCGCCGCAGCACAGTGGTTCAGATTCGTCTGGACCAGGAGGTTGGAGACGTGATCCATTACTGGATCGTCTCTACAACCTCCTCCATAGGCGTCGGCGTCGACGCAATATTGACGTCGGGGGTAGCCTGGGTCGGCAGGCTAGACCCCGGCGTTTGCCGAGAAGCGCGGGGAGGCCTGCAGCCCCCCTGCCCCATCTGGTGATTGGCGGGCTTTTTAGCCGCCGCACACACGGGGCAGTGAGGGGCAGCAGAGCACTCTGCCGCCTTGTGCCCGGGTTGACCGCAGCGGAAACATAAACCGCTGCAGTCAAAGCAGCTCTCGCACTTAGTGCGAGTGTGTCCCGCGGCTAGGCACTTGAAGCACCTCATCGGCCTCGCGGCCAGAACCGTGATTCTGGCATTTACGAAGCCGACGAGAATGCTTCCGGCGTCGCCCAGTGCTTTGGCCGACGCCACGGGACAGCTCACCCACACCGCACCGAGGCCTCCCGGGCCCGGACGGACGGTGCCGACTCTGATGGTGTCCGCGGTGCACCCAGTCTTCTCCATGACTGCATCGCGGACATCCTCCGACGTGATGGAGTCGTCCAGGCCCGAGATGCGCAGTTCTGCGCATTTGGTGGGCCTGGCGATCTTAACACCGTCCGTGGCGGCGAAAATTCCCCGCAACTTCTCGGCGAATTTGTCGGCCGTCGCCGCGCCTTCAGCCCCAGGGAACTCGAAGACCCGAGCTCCCGTCTGGGCGCGGCGCAGCCTCATCCCCGCCTCCCCGAACTCAGTGGCGAGACCGGGCCGGGCCCCCTTGAAGAGGGCCGCATACGTGAGCCCGCCACTGGCCGCCTCCGGCGACAGCGTCACGACTACAGCCGCGGTTTTGGGCGGCTGCAGCTTCCGCGGCCTCTTTTTTGAGGCCGTTGCCACCGGTGGCGAAGGCTGGGCTTGGGCTGCTTTCTGAGCAGCCCTTCTAGCCCGCCTTCGGGACTTCTTTGAGCCCCTCGCCTCCTGCCAACCCTCGTTGGAGGGGGCAGGTGCGGAGGGGCCCGGCAGGGATGTCGGAGCGGGGAGCGGAGGGAAAGCCACTCCGCTCCTCTTCGCCGCTTTAGTCTGGGCCGGCGCCTTAGCCGGTGCCTGGGCCGGCGCCTTGGCCGGTGCCTGGGCCGGCGCCTTGGCTGGCGCCCGGGCCGGTGCCTTGGCCCCCTTCCTCGGCCCCTGGGGAGCCAGTGGAGTCGGGGCCGGGTGGTCCGCAGGGACATGTCTTGTGGCGTTCCACAGGGGTCGGTCCTTGGGCCGCTCCTGTGGAACGTAGGCTATGATTGGGTCCTGCGCGGTGCTAATCTTCGGGGAGTCGGCGTACTCTGTTACGCCGAGGATACCCTAGTCACCGCGCGGGCCCCAACATTCCGCGACGCCGCCGTACTCGCCACGGCAGGCGTCGCTCATGTAGTGCGTCGCATCGGGGCGCTCGGCTTAACAGTCGCGCTGGAGAAGTCTGAGGCCGTCTTTTTCCACGGGCCTCGGCAGACGCCGCCTCGAGATAGGTCGATTGTGGTGGGCGGCATCCCCATCGCTGTCGGGAACAGCCTGAAATATCTCGGGCTCGTTCTCGACAGTCGGTGGCGGTTCGAGGAGCATTTCCGGCAATTGGCACCGAAGCTGCTGGCATTTGCCGGAATGCTCTCGCGTCTGCTGCCCAACAGCGGAGGACCGGGGTCTGCCTGCCGCCGTCTCTATGACGGAGTGGTGCGCTCCAAGGCGCTCTACGGAGCGCCCATATGGGCGGAAGCCCTCAGCCCGGCGAATATCGCGCTGCTGCGGCGTCCGCAGCGCGCCATCGCGCAGCGGGCTGCACGGGCGTACCACACCGTCTCCTACGAGGCGGCGTGTCTGATCGCGGGCAGTATCCCCTGGGATCTCGAGGCCGGCGTCCTCAAGCGAGTGTACGTCGAGGGCGCCCTGATGCGGCGTGTACTTGGAGGTCGGCCGCTTCCGGAGGAGATCGATCGCTGGAGACAGTCGGCTCGCGATGATCTCTTCCGGAAGTGGGCTGTAAGGTTAGAGGCGACCCGTAGCGGGTCGGTGCTCGTAGGGGCCGTTCGGCCGGTCCTGCGTCAGTGGGTGGAGAGGGGTCATGGGACTCCGACATACCACCTCACCCAACTCCTCACGGGTCATGGCTGTTTTGCCAAATACCTGTGGGAGGTGGTCGGGGTGGAGTCGGAGCCCCGGTGCCGCAACTGCACCAGCGGCGACCCTGACACGGCGTATCATACCATGGCCGTGTGTGAGGCGTGGGACGAACAAAGGACGGCCCTCACGAGCACCTTTGGTGCGGACCTGTCGCTGTCGGCCATAATTCCAGCTATGGCCGATAGCGAACAGTGTTGGGCTGCCGTCGCCTCGTTCGCTAGCGAGGTGATGGCGGCCAAGAGAGAGGCTCTGCGGGAGCGGGAGCGAGCTGGTCTCACCCTCCCGCCCCGCAGACCCCCGGCGAGGGGACGCCGGCGAACACGATTCGCCCGCGTCCCCGAATGAGAGTGGCCACGGGCGGTGGGTCGGGGGACCTGCCGCCCCATACTAATGTGGCGGAATGCGCCCCTCTGTGTTCCTGGGGTGCATTCATGTGGAGGACAGGCCCCACCACCCGGGCACGGTATTTGCCCGGATGGTGGGGCCTCGAGAGGCGAGCCCGTTCAACAGGGCGTCCCTAGCCGAGTCGCGGTGAGCAAACTAGCCCGTGGCTCGGATTAGGCGAAGGAGGAACACCGTGGTGGTTTAGTGGGTAGTCTGGCCCGTCAGGAGTCCCACACGAAGCGAACCCCCTGCCCTGGGGGGGGGAGCGAAGTGCGTAAATGCATTCCACCACGTAAAAAAAAAAAAAAAAAAAAAAAAAAAAAAAAAAAAACCTAACCTAACCTAACCTAACCTTTTTTTTTTTTTTTTCTACGTGTGGAAATCCCCTCGGACCGTCACCCCGCCGGGGCTCTCGTTCGGCGGGGCGGTGTGTCGGACTCGAACCGACTAAAACCACACGGTGTGCCCTCTTTGCGCTTCCAGTTTAGGAGGGGTCCAGGTACCTATCTCCTTCTGGACCCCTCCCAGCGCCGGCCCGCTCCTGACGCGGGCTCCGTCTCAGTGGACCCTCTCTTTAGGCGGCGTCCGGCACACGCGGACGCCGCCCCCTCGCGGCTGGCCAACTAATGCGGGTGGAGGGGAGAACCCATCCCGTCCACCCGCGGCCACACTCAGGGCGGCATGAGGCGCAGGTGAGCGCGCCTCCGCCGCCCGGTTCGCCGGCGGCGGATCAGGTCCGAGTGGAGGTCGTCCTCCCGGGCCTTCTCCGCCGCCTCCTTCTGCGAGATTACCTCCTCGCAGAAGGTTGCGACCGCGGTAAAACAACTGTCGCTACCGGCCATGGAGCGAATTACGGCCGGTAGCGAGAGATCTGCTCCGATGACTGCAGTGAGGGCCCGGCGCTGCGTCGCCCATGCGGGGCAAACCGCCAGCGTGTGCTGGGCCGAATCCTCACCGCAGTCGCAGTGGTGGCAGGCGGGACTCGATTCCCTCCTAGCGACCGAGTACAGGTACTTTCCGAAGCAACCGTGCCCGGAAAGCACCTGCGTCAGCCGGAAGGAAAGGGTCCCGTGCTGCCGCCCTGCCCACTCGGCGATGACCGGCTGGAGAGCCTCCACGGCGGCGAAGCCAGCGCGTGGAGTCTCCAGCCGGAACGACCATCTCACCATAGTGGCTCGGCGAGCGGCTTCGCGCCACTCGCGCACGTCTTCGGGCGGAGGGCGAAATCCGCTCTCCGCCCGGAAGTCAGCCACTCGCCGATAAACTTCGGCGAGCACTTCCGCCTCCAAATCCCACGGGGGTGTTCCGGCCAAGGCGCAAGCCGCCTCGGTGGACACCGTGCGGTATCCGCGTATGGCTCTGACCGCCAATATCCTCTGGGGGCGCCAGAGGCGCGCCCTATTCGGGGCGGTCAGAGCCGCCACCCACACCGGTGCACCATAAAGCGCCATGGACCGGACAACCCCCGCGTACAGCCGCCTCGTGGGAACACTGGCCCCGCCCAAATTGGGCAAAAGTCGCCCTAGGGCGGAGGCAGTGTCCACCAGCTTCGGACCAAGCTGTCGGAAGTGCTCGTCGAAGAGCCACCTACCGTCTAGGACCAGACCCAGGTACCTCATCTGGGCCCGGACCGGTACGAGGACCGAGCCGACCTCGATTGAGGCGCCGGCGGGCGGACCACGACGGGGCCCATGAAATAATAGGGCCTCCGTCTTATCCAGGGCCACCCGCAAACCCAACGCCTCAATGCGCCCGACCACCAGGGAAACTCCCGCGGCGGCCAGGCGCGCCGCCTCCTGGAAGTTAGCTCCCCGGGCCGTGAGCAAGGTGTCATCCGCGTAGCAGATTACGCCCAGCCCGGGGGGGAGACGCCCTCGTAGGGCCCAGTCGTACCCGATGTTCCACAGGAGAGGTCCTAGGACAGACCCCTGCGGAACACCGCACGACATGGCCCTGCGTCCCAAGACGTTTTTTTACGTGGCGAAGCCAGCCACGTAAAAAAAAAAAAAAACCTAACCGGTGAACCGCGATCGCCGGCGTCACGCTTTTGACACGCTCCGCACTGTAAAAATCGCGAACACGGTAAAGTGTTAAAAAGTGTATAGTGTTATACATCGCGAGAAGCGCCTTCGCGAGCTCTACGCGATAGTGAAAACCGCGAAAATATCAGTGACAACTCGTGTTTTCGCAACTGTGGGAGGGTGCGGCTCGGGGAGACGCTCCTTTTGAGCCCCCTCTCATAATTTTAATGCGAAATACAGCGTAGTTATAGCGGAAAAATTCTTTATTTTTATTTTTTAATTGTAAGACTTTATTTTATTAAACCGTGTAGAGCATATCACTTTTACCACCTACCCCACCCCCACACCTCACCCCCCTCCTAACATTTCTCCTGGACCTCTGGACCCCCCGAGTTTGGGCTCATTTGAACCAGCTCGTGGAGCCCAATAGATTGACCCCCCAGTCCCTTATTCCCCCCCACCCCTCACCTCACCCCCTCTAACTCAGACCCGCCCTAACTCCGTCCCCGAGGCGCCTGGACCCCCCGAGTTTGGACTCGTCTGAATCGGCTCGGGGAGCCCAGCTACCTGGCCGGGTCTGTACCCTTACCCCACCCCTCCCCTTACCTCACCCCCCCTAATACCAACCTGTCAATGGAGCACCTGGACCCCCCCGTGTTTGGGCTCGTTTGAACCGGCAGGGGAGGCCCAGACGTTCTATCCCGTCAACCTAATTTACCCGCCCCCTTCCCCTTACCTCACCCCCCAACCCTTAACTTTGTCCCCAGAGCACTTGGACCCCCCGAGTTTGGGTTTGATTGAACCGGCCCGGGAGGCCCAGTAGCTTCCCCTCATCACCTTACCTCACCCCCTCTCTCCCCAACTCCATTCCTGGGACACTTAGACCCCTCGTGTCTGGGTTCACCTGAACTGGCAGGGGGTCACGAACCTATTGACCCCGGCCTTTTTCGTCGACCCCACCAATCGTCTCCCCACGAACCCCCCCCCCCCCCCCCTCACCCCCCTCTTTTTTACCTCACCCCTCCTCCCCCTAACTCTGTCCCTGGGGCTACTGGACCCCCCGAGTTTGGGCTCTTTTTGACCGGCTCGGGGAGCTCAATCGATTGGCTCCGGGACAGAACTTAAAGGGCATGCCTAGTAAGGCCGATAGGTAGATAAGAATTATGGTAACTAGAATAGGAAAACTAAATGTGTAGCTTAGATTTATAGCAAAGTAGGTATAAGTAAGAAATAGATGTAAGACAAGGTGGTGGGGAACGCATCGAAACTGTTAAAAACCAGAATGTAATGTATAGAATAAGGAACCAGTAAAATAGTACATAAGGCTGAAAATGTAGATTTCTATAGGTGAAAGAATTTTTGAAATCGGTCCAGTAGTTTCAGAGCCTATTCATTACAAACAAACAAACAAATAAACATTAGAATAGATCGCTTTAGAATACTCGTATTAGTATAGACTAACTGTTTGAGGCCTATTTATGAACTTTGGATTTCCAATCAATCTAAGAAGTTTTATTAAATGAACCAAATTTTTACCCATAGATTATTAATGTACCAAAAGTTGCTTCAAATGGTTCCAGAAATGGCCGCACGCATGTAATGTTTCTTCACTAATTCCTTCTTAAACTTGGCTGATTTGGACGTGAAAGAAAATACCCAAAACATGTCTAGTTTTGTTTATTTTTTGCTATAGCTAAGAAATACACACACAAACATACCGGCACCTGCAATCGCTCTTAGGTCGGATTTGGCACCGCGCTACTAGCTATTAAAATAGATGATCAAGAAATTCCTCGTGTATGAGGGCCGCGGGGCAGGTGAGCCTTGGAGTTGGATGAGCCAGGGGCACACTCCGGGCAACTAGGGCGTGGGCAAGCTGGCGTGGATGGCGGTGGCTTCTCTTTTGGAGACGAAGACACTTTCGAGTCAGGCTTTCCCGCTAACGTTTTTTGTATTTTTTTCATCGATAACCAAGATTCACTGCCTTTGCATTGCGATGTAAAATTGTTGGTTTGACACACGGCATGGGGTTTCTGATTTGAGGTTCTGTCCTTCGGTTTATCGCATATGTTGCAGTCGCCGCCGTCTAGGTACACGTGCACCCGTACCCTGCTCGTGCAAGGTTGGACGCACAAGTCGAGATGACCGTCGGGAGGTTTCGGTCGCTTTTGCTGAGGGGAACAATTTCTCATTACGACTCGACCTTGTCCCCCCTCTTTCAGTCGCTCCTTAGATTTTAGTAGTTCTTGCAACCCACCAGCAGTGCTCGTTGCGATGACGGACGTATGAAGGCGGCGAGTACCGTCCTTGTGCGGGTCGCGAGTCGCTAGACGTGATGGACGCGCTCGAAGTCGTTCAACTATGGTGAGTGGTCGGCATCGCTTTGGCGCTCCGGGAAACGATGGCGGGCTTTTACACCAACCGATATCACCGATGCCACCAGCGCCACTGCCTGTTCCTCCGCCGTGTGGTTTATCCACGCACGTATTCGATGTACCTGACCCATCTTCATGAGAAGTCTCTTTGGAACATCGATCAATTTCGAGGAAGACACGTGGTTGATGTGCACATGGATCTAGATTATCACTTCCGATGTGGCAGTTGCGATTCGACTCCGCCAGCGAAACACGACGCGGTGAAGGCGGTTCCTCGGTGCTGGAACAGTGTGCCTGAGGACCGATCGGTCGCGTAATGGCGTAAAGGTTGCCATCCGTAGCGCGGGCCAGCTCTCGCTCACCGCCCAGCGTGTAGGGAGCGGGCGGTGGCTTATAACACTTGGAGCGGTCCTTCTTGCTAGCAGACACCTCACGTTCGTAGTCTAATTGTCGTGTTCGCTTGGCACACGCGAGTCTCCAGGCCACGTAGTCAATGCCACACGATTTGTTAAGAGATTCGTCAGTCTGAAGGCAGTTGTTTTTCTGTAAAACAATTAATTTACTTAAGAAAATAAAATTTTCTGTGGTATTTTTTGTCTCAATATTTCTGAGATAACACAGGAACGCATAAAAAGCATAAAAATGTAACTATGCGGCTGTGACATACCTGTCGTGAAACATCACTGCACGTTAGTGTACAGCTGGCGGGAGGGCAGGGCAGCGGCTTCGGAGGGCGTGGCGGACAGCAAACGATGCGCACACCTTGCGGTGGCCTCTGCTCTTGAGACCGACAAGGCGGCGGACGATGCGGTGTACAAGGCGGACAGGGAGGTGGGACAGTTGGCCCACTGCACGTGCCGCCAGTAGCACCAGAAGCTCGCGTGACCAGCTGCAAAATTCGGAGCGTGCGCTGCACGGCCATGTCTGTGTGTGTGTGTTATTTATAAAACATAAAGGTGAGTGATCGCTAAGGTTTACTCAAAGCCTTCGTGATCTACAAACAAGTAGGCTTCGAATTAGTTTATACTGGATAGTTTTTTTAATGTATAGTATCGCCTTCGCGTCGGTAGTAAAAATGAAGCCATCAAAATGTTATCAAGAAATTATCTACCAACAACCACTAAAGCTGCATCAAAAATATCCTTTAATTTCTTGTGCGAATAATATCACAAAATTATAAGACCAAGTCTTGTTATACTAGGCGCAATAAGGTTATGTCCTTTCTTCCAGTAACTTTCTGACCTTATCACATATTACCTAATGAGGACAGGCCTGGATTTAGGGGGGGCAAACCGGGGCCCCCGCCCCGGGCGGCACTTTTAACGGGCGCTAAAATCATAATATAATAGGTACGATATTAAAAAAAATAACTTGGTCAACAAATGCAAATTTTTAAAAGGTTCTTATAAGAAAAATACTTTTTTTGTTTTTTTTTTTTTAAGTTATTTATCTCAAACGCCTGGCGTGAGGGGGCGCTATTATTAAGTTTCTGCTTCGGTTCCAAAAAAATCCTAGAATCCTAGTAGATCCGGGGCTGAATGATGAGTTTTTATTAGTCCGTAAACAAAGTTAAAGAAAATTATGCGAAGTCTGGGTAGGCCTTTTGAAGAAAGGACCATAGTTTTATACGCATACGCATACGGCATACGGGCCTCAGCTATCGTGAAGCTTAACCGATATTAGTCAAGATCAAGGACCCGAAGCGCGACACTACCGCCAGCAAGACATTTGAGTAGGCCATGGAAACACTTAAAATCACCAGAGAGTTACTAAATCACATCAACACCCTTTAATAGTCTACTGCTGGATATAGGCCTCTCCTTAGAAAGGAGGTTTTGGCCTACTTTACCACGCTGGCCAGACGGGTTGGTATCGCGTTAGTTCCAAATTTATTTCTCTTTGCAGTGCTGTTGTCTAGCGTAATTTGCTTCCTTAGTCGACTCTTACGACACCCACGGGATGAATAGGGGTGGTGACACTCCGTATTCTTAATCCGTCGCTAAATATGAATTAACATTACAAGCCTACACTATACTCACATTTACATACTTACACAAACCAATATACTATATGTACAATTCAAGTTCAATGAAACAAAGTGGAAACAAACGAAATACCACAATACAATTAAAGTCCATCACTTTGAAACATAACAACAATCATAGGAACGTAAATGCGGGAGTGAGCAGCACAAACAAATTTATCATCTAAGTAATCTGTAACCCTGTAGTAAGCCTTTTTACGTAGTTTTTGTTTTACTGAAGACTTAAATTTGTTAATACTTTGTTCATGAAATTGGCTTGGCATTTTATTGTAGAATCGCACACCCTGACATCGAAAAGACATGCTTACTTTTTGTAGTCTAGTGGTTGCTAACACGAGTTTATCTTTATTTCTAGTGTTTATTTGGTGAATGTCGCTAAACTTTGTAAATTATAAATAAATATTTTTCTTTACATACACTAAATTTTCTTATATGTACTAACATGCGACTGTCATAATCCCAATTTCTTTAAACTTGCCCCTTGGTGATTGCGTATAACTGACATTATAAATTGCGCGAATAGCTCTCTTGCAACACAAAGATACTTTGTATGTCAGCAGCATTTCCCCACAACAAAATACTGGCTAATGGCTAAATAGCTAAAATACACCAGTCTAACTGTTTCTACATAGGCTAATTGACGAATTTTATAAACCGCGTATGCTGCAAAGCTGAGTCTTTTTGACAATCCATAAATATGTGGGCCCACTGCAATTTAGTCTAGTGTTATACCCTGAGGCGGTAAGAGAAATAAATGCGCTGAACTACCACTGACAGTTGAGTTTCACTAAAAAAAAAAGTCGTAACTTGTGACTTTGTCGCACCAGGTACAAATATAATTTAATTATTTGAGCGTTATATTATGTTTATGATTTAAGACAAGTTTTTAAATAAAATAAAACTTATAACATATTTATTACGTATATTTTCTTCTCACAAAATCAACATCTAAAAAAGTATCTCAAAACAAGTCTATTAAAAAAATACACAATTTTTTACATTAACATTAATAATAGTTTAATCTTGATCACATTCTAGGTAATACAAACTGATAAAATCTAATAAATTCTAACAGTCTTAACTCTCATCATAAATTTTATTCTTACAAATAATCAGTCTTAACTTCGAAATAAAATTCACAGTAATTATCATTTAATCACAATCACAAACACTTTAATCAACACAACTCTTAACTCAACAAAAATGTTCGATCTTTCTTTTTGTTCTTTCTTGAAGAATCACATTCTCACTATCTTACAAATTACACAGTCTTTCTCAAATTACTTTAAAGTAAATTTGTACTTTTCCGTTTCTTAATCTAAACTTTTCTGTAAATAGTGTTTGAAATAAACTGTTATATAAATTTTCGTAGAATTTAGGAACAGTATTATTGTAAAACCGACTTGTAAAAATATCTGAAAAGATTTACTTACAGAAATAAATATCATTTATCATTTTTCATTTGTTTATACTGTTCTGGGGTGTAAATGGGTCAGACTTTTTCGCTCGACGAATATTTTTCTCTATTATGGAGTGTACTGCACCTGCCTCATTTTGAGTGTGCCCGCAAATTTATTTTTCTGCTGACCGCAGCAATTATCCGAGAAAAAAATTATATCTGAATTCAGTTTATTCGAAGAGTATTCTTTTAAGAAATTGTACATACAGGAACCTATTTTGTTTGCTCCTCTCTTACCTAGACCCTCGTGCCAAAAGAAACAAAATGTTTTCTCATCTTTGATATTTGATATTGTGAAGTTCTAACAGTTCAGCTTGGTTTTATAAAAAAATACAGATGATTGACCTACTGGACAAGGCAATACAGCCTGAAGATCATAAATGGCCACAATGACAATTTGTTTTTTTTCTATTCTGCTAAGACTCTTTACTTCGTGATGTAGTTGGTACTTAGACATTAACTGTTCTTTATCTAATGCATTTTTATTTGTGGTGTCACTCTCTCTATAACACTTTCATTATTCTTCGTTACCACGGTCTGTAACGGTATTTTGTAACACAGAATCAACTTGAATGCCATCGGTTGAAATTATTTCACCGTCTTTTGCAAAATCGCAGTTTTTGTTCCTGTCGATTACTGAGGGTTTATCAATTTTAGTACTAGATTGTTGAGTATGAACCATAGAAATATTTTTCTGCGTTGGGAAGCCATTGTCCCCTGAAATAAATTTATTTAATTTAAGATATTTGTAAGAATTATTGAAATCAAACTAAACTACCCCAGCAAAAAAAATCTCGATAAAAACTAAGTAATAATAATAATTATGCAGTAATAAAGTTGCAATTTACTTTTTAAGTATTTAGTTATTTAAGGTCATAATATATACACTTTTGGAACAATAAACAATAAAGTAAAGCTCCATCAGATTACTATAAACAATATAGTTCTTGAAACTACAAAAACACTTTTTGATTTGTGACTTTGTAGTTACAATTATATTAGTCAACAATTATAATTCTCCCAATATTTGTCGAAAAACTAGCAAGAACCACAAAGGCACTAATGCCATCTATCGATATATTCAAATACTTTCGCGGCTGTCTTTGATTTCCCAAACGAAGGAATGGTTTATAGACAATTTGGCATACTTTGTCATTTTGGCAATTTTGCCTACTTGTGACTTTGTTGCATCGAAGGTGCGATATATACGAGTAGACTCACAAATTTTCCTGAATTGAATATGCTGATACAAAAAAGTTATAAGGTCCAACGATATTTAACTTTTTATTTTGACTTAAAAGATTATATTTAATCATATATAGTTCACTAATCCATAATATATGATTGGGTCCAATAATTTTTTCTCGGGAAATAATGTCGAATGTCGCGAGTTTATTGTTCGCTTGTGTCAATATTTTGAACTCGAGAACCAAAGTGATAGACTGTTGTTGCCATCGAGTGTTTTCACAGAGCCATATGCCAGCTATGTCAAACGCATCAGCTACACTCCCGGCATAGTGCAAGCTTTAGTGAGTTACATTAGTGCAGTATGACATGGTGACGAGTCTTCGGCAGACGAAATAAAATTGTCCACGCTAATGAAAAAGAAAAAAATCCTTACCAGTTACTGGTTCATGATTTTACGATAGCTGTTTCCAACCATGGCTGGTTCCTAAAAGAGTTTCCAACTTTAAATTATGGGAAGTATAGCGTAGAGAGGCATATGTCAAGCAGTGGATTATAAGAGTATATTGATGATAGCGTCATTAGCAATAGTTAAAAAACGGATTGGCATTTTAAAGTGACAAAAAAAAATTATAATGGAACGCATTGATTTATAGCTTTGGTTCAAAAATTTTTTTTAACATAAATTAAAAAAGAAACTCTAATTATAATAACGTTTTCTTTTTCACAAAAAATATTTATAGGCAGAATCGCTTGTATACAAGTCTAGTGTATACTAAGATTTACTAGTAAAACTTAAGACCTACGAATTCACGGTTACATGCATAAATCTATAAAACTGAAACCGATTAGTAAATACAAAGAAATGAAATCACCTTCTCTGCAGAATCGGAAATTGTGGTAATCGGTTTCTTTGACCCCACCTCTATTCTTCCATCTGTCAGAACTGTCAAACGGTACCTCTTAGATTAGATGGACTATAATACATTAGGATAATATGAATAGGAAATTGAAATTGGAAATTTGCAATTTGTATTGAATTACTTAAATATTGATGAGTCTAGCATCAGAAAGCGATAGCGACTATGTGGATGAGTCTGAATGGCAAAATGAAACACGGCTGTGTGGAGTGGTACTTCGGGAGGTATTCCCCTGGCTTAGCGGAGCAGATTTGGCGCGCGCCGGTGCCACTTGTCGCGCTTGGCGTCGCGCCGCCTGCGACCCACCGCTGTGGCGTCAGCTGCTGCTGAGAGACGGATATTTACCCAATCTGCTCCAGAAACCGCCTCCTGACATGGGTACCGCGCACGCGCACCGCACGATCTAGCTTGCCGAGTGAATTAACACCGTGTGGTTAATTACTAACAGGCATGTTTGCAGTGTCTATCATTAGCGTGAGTGGAACACCATTGTTTGACTATTTTGATAATCTTATTCTGTGAATATCAACTATTTCATAGTAGTAAAAATCATCCTTTAAAATACCTATTCATGGTTCTACTGGTTTACATAGTTCCTGGTTTACCATGTACTGATGGATTAAGAATACAGAGTGTCACCACCCCTACTTATCCCGTGAGTATCGCAAGGGCTGACTAAGGTAGTAAACTATGCAGGTCAACAGCACTGCAAAGAGAAGGAAAACTTGCAACAAACCCTATACCAACCTGTCTAGCCAGCATGGTATAGTAGGCCAAAACCTCCTTTCTAAGGAAAGGCCTATGTCCAGCAGTGAACTAGTAAAGGCTGTTAATGATGACAATGACCTATTTACATTGGTACTGTTGGTCAGCAACAACAAATTATTGTATTCTAAGATATTGTAACAGAACATACATATCCCATTTCATTTGAATGTTTCCTCACAGAGACATTTGTTAGTCTCTGTAGTTTTTAACAGTTTGTGTCTCTTAACAAGTTGTAAGGGAACTATTGATAAGTTTAGCAAAAAAGAAATGTGAAGCATATGTAGTTAGAACTATGTATTTCTGTAGTTGAAAGCTAATTGTCAGTAAGAATGTATTATAAGTATGAACTATTGTATTAATGCAATAGTACAAGTAGCCATTGCAGTGCCATAGCGCAACGGCCGGGGCATCACCACTGCAGTACTGACATGGGCTTAATCCAATAGCACAAGCATTACCTTTATCTATGGGATGAGTGGTGTGTATGTGATGTACATGATATCAAGGGACTGAAAAGAAAAATGTTGTCTGTTACATTTTTAATTATTTTTTAGTTTTTTCTGTTTGAGATAATTACACCTAGCATTTTCAAAACATAAGACATAAAAAATGAACATCTGATGACCATTTACAAATATCCTCATTTCATTCATTTACAAAGTGTAAATACGCTGAGTGTTTTGGGTTAGATCCCCGCATGGAAAAACACTTTGTGTGATCCACAAATTGTTGTTCTGAGTCTGGGTGTTCTTTGTGTCAGTTTCATGAATGCTTGTAAAGTCCTCCGATACACAGGAATATATTAATGCTATATTGGTCTTTTACATCAATGAAATTTTATTATAGTGTCTACTCGCAAGTATTAAAAATACATTTAGTCTACATGTACTCTTGATCCAAGGAACATAGAACTATTGGTGATTTTGGATAAGTATGCTATATCAGCAATATGTTTACGCTCATACAGGGGTAGAATGTGAAACTTTTTACACCAGGCAGTAGAACTAGATGTGTAATAACAGGTTTTATGTTTTCAAAATGTTGTAAAATAAAAAAAAAGATATAAATAACAATTAGTATCTAAATAGAATGAGGTATACACAATGTGATTTAAGATGTTTCACCATTGATCAGGTACAGTAAGAATGAACTTTCCTGATGGTCGGAATTGTGTGCGACGGTGTTGTCACCCTGGGGGATCATGGTTTCATAAATATTGTCTCTTTTTTTTAGTAAGGAACATAAGTGTTTTTTTTTTTTAAATGGAGCTATAATAATGTTTAAGTGTTGAACATTAGCAGTAACTGACATAGCAAGAAGGAGGATGTTCTGTGATTGGCTACATCTATCTTTTCAGAGGTCGGTTAGACTTTTTTTTATGTGAGAAGTGGCAGACGAGCAGACGGTTCACCTGATGGAAAGTGACCATCGCCGCCCATGAATGTCTGCAAGTCAGGAGTCACAAACGCGTTGCCGGCCTTTTAGACTTGCACCCTTATATTAATATTTTATTTTTGGTCTATCGATGTAAATGCTTTTTCTCGGGACATATTGAGTAGAATTTAACATTAAATCGGCTTTAACGCGGGTTAAGGTACCCTAAGTATAAGTATATTTGGGGTCCCTTAACCTTTAGTAGGAGACGCTACCGGGTAAAAAATACCACAGACACATAAAATTACGTCATAACTTTTTTGTCATTAAGTAAACAATGCTGTCTTTCTTAGTACCTTCCTAGAAAAATAATACGGAGCAAGCTTCTCGCTTGCACTTCAGTTGGTGCCACGCATTCATGTATTCAAAATTTTACATCATTTTATGCATATTTAATGGATTTTGATGACATAAGACATAAGAAATTCTTCTATTGTGAACAATAGAAGAATTGAATGAAATGAGAATAGCGAAAAAGAAGAAGTCTCAGAAACAGAACAATAATACATAACAGGTACAAATATGGAGTTGACTTAGTGGATGAGTTATGTGGCACTTGTTCCGTATGTCACAAGACGCTAGATTCTGGCTATTTTCTATTTTATATTGAATATGGGAGGCATTCATGATTATGTGATTGCTAAAGCTAATGCTGAACGACAAATCACACGACAAACTGGGTGATCGCTTTTTTGTAACCACTTAAACATGGTCGGATTACCACGGACTTGCACCTTCTAATGACTTTTATTTAATTATCTCGTAAATTATTATATGTACGACGCTGAAATTCTACAGGTAGACAACTGAACTAAACAACTAATTATTGGCATAACATTCAGTTTATATATCCACACACAGGTTTATCGGTGGCCAAAAAAGGCCGCACACATTGTGATCGTGAACGTGGAGAGCTACATTTCATCATAACTTTTTAGTCACTTATAGTATTCTTACGAAAATTCGTATACATTTGACGGTAGTTACAAGCTATAGAATAACGTTTGAAGTAAGTCTTTAGAGGTCTTATTTAAAGTGTTAGGACGTATTGAAGTGTTTTCATACTTACCTAAATAATTTTTAAACGGTCCATTATTTTTGTTATTTTATTGTCGAACAAATTAAAACTAATCCTTAAGAAGTTATGTACAAAAGATGGTTACAATCCGCTTACCCGTTTCAGAGATCCAGCAAACCCACAAACGTTACTCCAGCAGGATTTCGAATAACTTCGCAGCCGAAGAAAATACAAATACCAAATAAGTTGTAACATTTACCTAGTCCAGATAACTAATTATCTAGCTAAAATTTATTTCAATATTACAATTAAAAAAGAAAATGTCTGGCTGCGGTAAAGTTTCAAACGTTACTCCAGCAGGAAATGTTTTTTTTAAATAACTAAAAAAGTTTAAGTGAAACAAATTTCAAAATGTGCCTAACAATTACAGAAGGAGAGCAACTAATTATCTATAAAGTTTAAATGACCATTTTCGACATTATTTTGCTGGGGTAACGCACACTCTAAAGTCAGTCAAAATCACGCCCAAAGGAGTCGGTTACAAACAAACATACAAGTGAAGCTAATATAAAGCGTGTAATTACCAGCATTTAGTGATTTAAGTTCATACATAAAATTAGGAGACGAAATAAATACACAACATATCTATCACGTTATCATTTCAAATAAAGTACATATTTATCTTAATTTATATTCACCAATTAATATACCTATATATATATATATTCGTCAAATGTGGTATTTTTTACCTAGTAGCGTCTGTTTGTGTCCTAAATAGGGGCGCGCCTCCCGCCGGGTTTAAGCTATAAAATATCATAATATAATGTTACATATTGTTACATTTTGCCCTTTTAATGTTCATAACTAGAGATCGCCGTTTTGGACCGTTTTATGTTACTGTCATTGAATAGCCTTTTCACATCAGATCAATCATTAAAATATGTATAAACTGTACCCATATATTTTGTGCGGGCTATTTGACAAGTTTATATCACATACTAACTTTATCCTCAGGCTCGGCCCGCGTGTATGTCAATACAAAAAATAGCCTATTTTACTGGCTGATAATGTAGCTTTCCAGTGCTGAAAGACTTCATAAAATCGGTTTAGTGGTTTAGGCTTGAAAGCGTAACAGACAAACAAACAAACGCGCTTTCACATTTAAAATATAAAAGTAAGTATGAAAGTATTGTAAGAAAACTCTTACATTAATGATAATATTTCATAACCTCTGCGTCATGCTTAGTATTCACACGCTACTAGTATATGTTTTTATTAAATTACTAACTTTAACAACATTTATTAGTACCAAGTATAATCTCTTAACCGCTTAACTCTAAGCCTCTTAATGTGACTTAAACGTAACGACGTTACTTTATGTTAAATTAATTTATTATATATTATTATTATATTATTATATTTATTATATTATGCAATCAAAACTTTTATATGCTTATAATGCACTCAAAACATACTCATTACTTTAGTACTCGTTTGACTACCGCGACTTCTCCAGTAAGACTGCCTACAACAATGACTTCAGCGCTCCACGACGCCCTCTCGCGTTTTGTTCGTGGTGGGACGCAGCGCATGATGTCATTGTTGGCACAAGAAAAATATCATCATCATCAACAGCCTATAACAGTCCACTGCTGGACAAAGGCCTCTCCTTAGAAAGGAGGTTTTGGCCTACTATACCACTCTGGCCAGACGGGTTGATAGGGTTTGTTTCAAGATTTCCTTCTCTTTGTTTTTCTTCGTTCTATATTTTTTTAAGAAAAATATAGTACCTATACATTTATTGCTAATGCTTTAATTCAAACAATTTGATTCATAATTTATTTACATAGGAGTTATTTCAACAATATAAATATAATTCCTGTCTATACTTCTACATACAAAAATAAGGTATTCTAAATATGATACAGACACATAAATAATCTAAGTTTTTCTTAAAATGTTTCTTCACGTATTCATATACAAGAGGTTTAGTGGTGGTGAGGCTTACTTTTACTAGCGGAACCACCGCTTCGCAATTAGTCTGAGTTTTCCTTCACTTAGACTTGACAGGCAAGAAACCGACAATTATCTCACTAGCTAGGGAAGCGTTGTGGAGTAAACGAAGCCACGCGAGGCTTTAGAAAAAAGCTATGTTGTTCCTTATATCCTTGTAAAAGACAAGATCCAAGAGACCTATTAAGATCTGTGTCGGGAGGACTTTATAATGATCGTACAATGATCTCTAGGCATATCTACGTTTACCTCGCTAACGGCCGTCAAAGGACTACCATTTTTTTCTTCACCCCTCAAAGATATACGACCGTGAATTCGTTATATCAACGGTAGTTAGTTGCTTGCCAAGGGCCTTCATAAATAAATACCATTTGAAGTCGATGAAATGACTCGTCTGGTTTAAGGCCACATTTGAAATCATCGCACGAAAATGTTCCCGATGCAGATCCATTTTTCAATGAGGCACAATAATTCACTTTAGCTCTCAAAAAAATGTGAAGGGAAAGGACAACGACAGATTTGTATGGAACTTTTATATTTAACTAATTTGTAACGGGCGGGCATTTTTATATTTAATCAATAAAAACAAGTTTTTATTTTAAAGAAAAAGGTTTTGACTTTCTAAAAAAAAAGGTGTGTGTTGCGATTCACACACGATAGAAGTGAAACTTCAAAGAGGAGACCGATATTTTAAATTTTTTTTATCCTTTCATCTAGGTTTTTAAAACTCCGGGGGGTCTACGGGGAGGTCAAATTTTTTGTTATTTTTGACCTAGGACGCACTGTTTCCGAGATATTTCAATCTAAAGCAAAAAATCGTCACTTGATAGTGGAAAGTGGAAACACGCACAAAACTAGAATAAACCAGTTTACGCTGTCCGCAGGTGCCACGTGCAGTCCGGCGTCAGTCGCTTGGTACTGTTAGAACATTAAGCACACATTTCATTCAAAAATTATAATTATTACGTTAATTGTTAAATTTTGTAGTTGTTGATTGTTGTTTTTGTTTGTTATTATTGTTATAATATTTAATTTTTTTGAAGTGTTTAATTTGTGTGTAAGTGTTAAAACTGTTTTGTACTGTTTGTACAAATATTTCGAAAATGAGTGTAATAACAACCCGAGCAGTATTATGACCCCCACTCAATTAGTTGCTAAATCAACAGGAATTTCAATAGCATCCGTCAGAAAGGTAGTATCAGAAAGCAAATGTCGTCCTTCAGATCAGGAAGCAACATTTAAATCTCCTAAAAAGAAACCGAATCGTAAACCTACAATAGTAATCGATAACTTTGATCAGCAAGTTATCAGAAGAACAATTCATGACTTCCACATCACAAATAAAGAAGTGCCCACTTTGAAAACTTTGCACGCAAAATTGAAAGAAGATATCGATTATAAAGGTTGTGTCAGCACGTTACGAAAACACGTCATGTCATTAGGTTTTAATTGGAAGCAAACAGAAGATAACCGGAAACTTCTTATGGAAAAACACGAAATTAGATACTTGCGAATTAATTATTTGATGAAAATTGCTGAATATCGTGAACAACGCCGACCAATTGTTTACACCGAAGAAACATATAAACATACATCACATACCGTCTCGAAATCTTGGTCAGATGGAAGCACTTCAGGTTTGAAGCAACATATATCGAAAGGCAACCGCTTAATCATTGTTCATGCCGGTGGTATGGAAGGCTTTATACCAAATGCATTGCTTATGTTTAAAGCCAACCAAAAAAGTGGAGATTACCACGACAATATGAACTATGACAACTATTCAAGGTGGATTCAAACTCAATTAATACCCAACTTACAACCAAATAGTGTTGTTGTTGTTGACAACGCACCATATCATAACTCAATACAAAATCCTGCACCGAATAGTAATTCTAGAAAACAGCAAATGATTGACTGGCTGACATTGCGAAACATTGAGCATTCATCCACGTTGCTTAAGCCTCAATTATATGAACCGATTTTTTTTTTTTTTTTTTTTTAAATAAATATATGGAAAATATATGGGGGATAGTGAAAACATATGTCGCAAAAAAGAATGTCGCAATGAATATGAAGGTTATAATGTCATTAGCTGAAGAAAAAATGAACGCCATAACTGTAGAGGAATGGAGTAAAGTTTGTCTGCATGCTATTGAGGAGGAAAACAAATATCAGGGTAGAGACGCAGCTTTAGACACAATATCAGAACGAATCATAATTAATTTAAATAATTCATCTGATGAAAGCGAGGATGGGGATGATTGTGATATGCCTGGGGTTGATGAATTATTAGAATAAAACATTTATGGCCGGAGAACACCTAATTCATACACGTCTTCACTGAAGTGAAAACCGGCATTCACTGCTTGTAATGTTTGGAACTGGCTTGTCTGCCTCATACAGTTCCATAGATTACAATGCAGTGGATACACATTTTCACGTCCGTATTAGTACGTAGTGCGTATGCGTAGACGTGTACGCATTTGGTGTGCTCCAGCCACAAACGTATATTACCTTTAAAAAAATAAAAACTAAAAATAAAATGTTGTTTTTTTTTTATTTGCTGACCATACACTACTACAAAGGCAAAAATTTCTCCAAGCTAATTTACCTGTACTCTGACACGGAATACCTATAATTAAATTTGCTGGGTGATTAAGCGATTTGTTATTAAGCGAGTGAAAAGGCTGCTAAACTAACCAAACATTAGTCACAGGAATAGAAGCCAGGGTGTATGCGCAAATCCTGCAAGAGGATTTGCTCAAAGGTCCACCGGGGTCACCTCTAGCTCAAAGAACCAACCTCGGCTGGATTGAATCAAACTGAACTGAACTTTTTCCTTTTTTGATTTAGACCTTTCTTGGGTCTGGTGCTAGTGTAAGAATAATAATAAGTCACAGTGATGTTGTAGATGAGTCACAGGTGTGATGAAATGACTTTATGATCGCATGATAAATCAACGGTGATTATGATTTTATCCCATGCCTATTAGCAACCCCTGTTATGTCTGTTTTGTCTCAGAGATGAATAAGGAACTTCGTTCCAAAACAGGCTCTAATTTAAGTGACATGTGTTCTAGAAACGGTCTCGTGGAGAGAAGAATATGTAACGGCCTGCGCAGGCTGGAAATTAGAGAAGCAGCATGTCGTCGCCGCTGGCGGAGTGTCGCTGTTGCATGCCGCACTTGCTCCTAGTCACGACACACTCGCGCTCTCTACTGACGACGCGTCACTCATAGTGTGGCGGTGCGAGCACGGCGAGTGGTGTGAGTTGTGGCGTTCGGAATTGCGCTCACGTGGCTGGGCCAGCTTGGCGCGCGTGCTCTGGGCCCGTATAGGGAATCGCCTTTTGCTGACCGGCCCTCGAGTACTCATCGATGACTGGGAGCTGATGGTGCTCCAATTGGACGGTATGCGATCGCCTACTTTGGATATCACGCAAATAATCGACAGGATTTCGTTCACGGTGTGTCGTTATATCGCAGAGGACTACAGAGGAGGATGCGTGTTGAGCCGCGTGCGTTGCAGTGCCGGCGCCGCCGGTTGCTGGGCCGATGCGGGCGACACTTTCTTATCGTTGGAGCTGAGAGTCCTAGCTCCTGGAATCGCTTGCACCACGGTCTGGTTGAACGCTGCCACTCAGGTATTGCTCAAATTTTAAATTATTCTAAACCGCGACTCTGTTCTTCAGTCTGCTCTTTTCGCAGGAAACGCAGTCGGAGTACGCCGGCGTGAGGTCGCCACTGTTGAGGATCTTCAACGAGGGCGGCGCGCATATCACGTGAGCTTATTCTTTCTGCCGGTCGTCGGTCTACTCGGCGATGACCCTTCGCATTGATCGAACGTCTTTCCTGCAGGCACGCTCTCGTGGCTAATACGGAGCCGGACGGTCGGCGAACCTTGATAACGGGTTCGGCACGCGGGTTGGGCGCGTGGCCCGTGGTCGAGCCGCGCCCGCAGCCTCTGCTGGCTGGAGCGCCGGGCGAGCTGGCGGAGCGCGTACAACGCCGCCGAGCGCGGCGCGGCTCGCCCGAGGAGCCCGCGCCTGCGCCCGACGAGGCCAGCGTGCGCGCCGCTTGCGCCCCGCCGGACCGAGAGTGTCCCCTGGCCGCGCCTCTCATCGGGCTTGTATTGCACGACAGGTATTTAACAATTGTGGAATTCTGTACGGCGATTATTACTTTTTTTTGAGAGAGCTTGTTTTCTTAGCGGGCGCTGGGTGTGCGCGGTGTGTAGCGACGGCAGCGTGACTTTCGTTTGTACCCGCACACTGGCGATACTGAGAGAGTGCCGCGCGCCAGCGGCGGGGGCCGGACCCGCCGCCGCCGCCGCGTTTGGCCCGCAGCACTACGTTCAGCCCGCAGTGTCGGCTTACTACGCAGCGAGGTGAGTGATACGACGATTACAGCATTCGATCGCTCGATTAAAAGATATTGCAAAATTACAGAGTGGAAAGCTTTTGTGTGTTATCGAGTATAACCCACTGTGGGTTAGACTCGATAACACACAAAAGCTTTTGAGATTCTAAACCACACTTAAACACTAAATTTTTATTGATTATGGAGTAGCAATATAATTAAGTAAGTACTCAAGTATAAAAATGAATAGAGTACAGGTAAACGAATCCCTCTAATGTGAAGTAGCTCATAGTACGTGTATACGAAATCAGTCCAGCAGGCGGGTACTCGCCGCGGGTGTGGACGTGGTCGCTGCGTAGCGGCGCGCGGCAGTGCGTGGGGTGTGCGGGGGGTGGTGCGGGTGGTGCGGGGGGTGGTGCGGGGCAGCGCGGCGCCGCCGTGTGCGCGCTGCTCCCGCGCGCGCCCGCCGCCCGCGCCGCGCTGCTCACGCTGGCGGCCGACACGCTCTATGTACGTACCTTCGTATAAATATAAGCGAATAGGTCTTAATCGAAAGGGCCGTGGTGATCACCAAATTAGGATTTGACGATAGGATCCTAGAGAAATCGAGGGAAACCCTCATATTTTACAGCCCCGACGACCTGTTTTAACTTGTTTATCTATCTATATAGGTATTTGCGTCTAGTAGTCGTAATATCATGAGCACGAGCTAAAAAACTAAAACGATTGCGACCCTCAATATAACAGATAGCATTATAAATAGCAAAGATACCTTCTAGTCTGTTTGAAATCGGTGCCAAAACAAATCAATTGTGAAAGTGATATGTATGTTTGCCGACATCATTGATATAATACTTACATAGATGAGTAATTACCGCCTAAAATCGTTGCTACTGCACATATGTCCACAGGCATATGCGTAGCAAACGTCAATTCATTATTCAATGTGGCGTCAACCGAGTTGAACATAGCGACACATGACAGTAACAATCGCCAAAATGGCTAAATGCGTAGTGAAAAAATGCGATTTAAGGTCACAAAACATTAATAAATCATGCGGAATTACTTTTCACGTGTAAGTTTATGGTTTTTGTATTGATAATATCGTAAATAAGGCTATAATTGAAATAAAACACTGATAATTGTAATCTAGAATCAGTGTTACCATTAAAAAATCATTTTGGTTTTCCCACATTAGTGGGAGAATTTATAATTTATGAAGTAATATGCTTTATACTGATTTTAAACATTTTGCCAATAATAATAAAATATAGGAAGAACGGTAGTTGCTAGGGCTGGACCGATCCCTTTTTTTAGGGACCCGTTGAACGTTCACTGCGAGCTTGGTAGAAGTGCCAAGCTCGCAGTGCTGGAGACTTTTGTACAAAAAAATTAATTCATTGTTTTTCCTAATTTATTATCAATTTTAAATAATAATTGTACAAAATAATAATAATAATAATAAATGTTTATCATAAAAATAAAAATATAAAATAAAAAAGTAAATAAACATAAATATTTTTTTTTTTTTTTTTTATTTGTTTTTTAAATTATAATAGAATTTGCAATACACCCTGGGGATTATTTATTATCAGTACAAGTTGATCATTCACTTTTATTATTAAATGCTATTATTTTTACATACGTAAAAATAAGATTGTATCATGAAAGTAAAATATCCACACAAACTTATAAAAAGAGTCTAAAAGACAATTGTATACAAAACTGATGCTTCACAGCGCAGTTTGATTTTACACTGAATATAAACCCTTTTAACCAAATATTTCCAGTTATTTTATTATTTATACCTATTCTATTCAATTCGAAATATATTATTTAGAATATTTAAATTAATTTATTTTATTACAAAATTGTTTTAAAAAAAAATTGTTTCTTAGTTGTTATGGGTAAAATTTCATACGGTAGTCAACACTGGCCCAACATCGTAAAGTTATATCTTTGTCTTTGTCTAATCCGAGCGATGCTATTGTTCTTGTCTCGCGTGTAAATGAGACATAAATATGTTTACTTTCAAATGTTTAGTGGTATCAAAGCTACGTCGTCAAAATTCAAAAGTGGTTACACTTTTTTCGACGTGTGATAATGAGGTTTGCTTCTCTAGTGTTGTTTTAACTCAATGGCCGACATACAGTAAACGTAAGTATATAAAAATTTCATATTCGGCACAGGTGTGGCGGAGTCGCGCGACGCTTCAGTCGCCCCCCGGGGGAGACTCGTGCTGCAGCACTGAGCCCGGGCCGTAGGCGCGACAAGGCGACGTGGCAGCCCGTCTCCTCGATTCTACTATTAAATATATTACCTTTATAAAGTGTTTTCACTGATTCGAGTCTGGTCCGCTTTAAGGTCATAGCTCAGTAGAGCCACCCGAATCCCGACCAGCACCGCCTCGCCTCGAGCGGTTAAAGTCTGGCCATAACTGCTGTGCACTCTCTGTGGTATGCGCGGCGAGGTGGGAGCCGGGGAAAAAGAGCATGAGTGCACATGCGATTAATACACGTCGGACAAATCTGACGATATCAGTTTATATTTCTAAGGCAAGACTTGTAGCGGAACGGGGGCTTTTTATTTGATAAAAATATGTTATTTGTACTATCTTATTAGTTCATAAAAATGTAATCTACAGATCTCGATATTTTATTAAAATACCTAGACAGTTGATGAATAAGAAACTTACAATTTAAATAAGGATTTGTTTTATTGAAAAATTACTATAATTACAAACAAATAGATATTAGTATAAGTATTTAAGTTATTGTGACATAGTTTCTGTTTCCACTTCATCTTCCATTTCGTCATCATCTTCATCGTCCATATCGTCATTGGAACTTGAATCAGGGTCTTGCAAATTTATTATAAATGAATCGATAATATTATCGAACCTACTATCCCGATTCCAGTAATCATTTTCATTTTTCTGGACATGATCATCGCATCTCTGCCATTTCTCTGCTGTGAATTCCGAAAACAATTTATCCAATATGATTATCTTTTCGTCTAGAAAAGAATTAATATAGTTTTGGGCTATGTTGTTTTTAATATCAGCCCAGACCAACTCAATTGGATTTAAATCTGGATGGGAGGTAAACGCAGAACAGTGTGTCCATGGGCTTTCAGGAGTTCGTCAATTATAGAATTGACGAACGCCTGCGTGTAAAGACACGGGTTCTTTTTGTGTACTTGTGATGAGAAGTAGCAGTTGAGCTTTTGTCATGGTTTCTAAAAATTCTACATTGTGGCGTAGCAACCAGTATTGCATTTCTCTTTTGAGGCTTGATATTGTTGGCTTCTTCTCAACCTGAACGCTGTGGTAAGACGCGTTGTCCCTTACAACAACAGAATTCGGCAGCAACTTATCTTTTAACTTTTCATCTACCCACTTATAAAAAGTAGGCCCGTTCATATCTCCATGATAGTCGCCAGTTTTAGCATCTGATTTGAAAATAGTCAATACGTCATCCACCAAGCCATTTCGACATCCAGCGTGGAGGATTACCAATCGCCGTCCTTTCCCAATATCAGCATGAATTCCGGATTCTGACGATGATTGCCAACATTTACTGGCATGGTGACTGGCGTTGATGTACATATGTTACTGTTGCTGATGGATAATGACGCGGAAAAGTAAAGGATTAATAAGAACGAATATTTATCCCACAACGCGGAGCAACGAACCGGGTGCTGGTCGCGGGTGTCGGGTGGTTCTAATGAGCTTATGAACTTTATACAAAAGCACCTCTATAGAATAAATCGTATCGACAAAACCAGTCGCAACTTACCGGTCGTAAATTTTATTACCACTTGAAATAATTACAAAAAAGTCTCAAAGTTGATTGTCATATCCTTTGGTAATAAACAACGATGATAGGCAACACGACCGAGTGTCCTGATTTTAAAGTATATGCATGCGGTAAGTAGCTTCCTAAGTTTCTTCTTCGAGTTCAGGTTTCTCTTAAAGTATTAAAGTAGAATTTGTGACAAACCTAATGATAAAGTCCTTATGGCGTTCATAACATTCTGACCCGACAGGAGGAGCGGTTCGGTTCGCAAGGCGAGCACGAGCCATAGGACTGAACGTTGCACACGGTGGCCATATATAACAAAACTAAACTTTTTAATTGTTAGACATAATATGCGCACACTTCATTTATATAATTATATATTTTATTGTTATATCTATTTATTCTAATTACTATATCTACGTAGTATAATAGGTACACGAATTACAATTCCCCGGCGTGCAGTAGAGGTCTAGAGGTCTACATGGCGGCCAGCTCTTTCTTTGCGACCGCGTAGTACTCGACGGTGGCCTCCTGCAGGTCCTTGTCCCCGATGGTGGTGTCCATGACGGAGGCGACGGCCACGACGGGCTCGCCCTCCTCCGCGGCGCGCAGCTTCAGCCGGATCTCGCGCATGCGCGCCTCCAGGATGCGCTCGCGCTTGGCCTCGCGCTCGAACATCTGCACGTGTCACGATACTGCCCGTTATATGTGCGGTACAAACTCGTGCACGGATTAAACTGTTAGAAAGGGGCACTGCAGTGCTCGGTTGGCCAATTGGACTAGTCTACTCTCCCACTTACCTGCTCTTATTTTAAAATTTTCATAATATGCAGACGCATGGACTTAATACGATTTTGAATAAAATAGCGATGAATTTAAAGTCGAGCTGCGAGAGTTGGGACTCGGGGCGCGGCAGCAACTCCGAAAGATTATTGAATGTATTCTCTTAATGCAAACGGTGGCAAACGAGCAGACGGTGCACCTGATGGTGAGCATCGCGATGGTTACTAGCGCATATTATGGTTTTTGACCTAGTTTTTGCTTAAAAAGAAGGGAGAAATTTATTTTTTTGTTGGTTTAGGTTTTATAATTTAATGCCTTTTAAAACCAAAATTATCTTAAACAACTTTAGAAGGTTGTAGTTCCTGAATGTTGAATTTGTACTTTTTTTGGTGATGCATATTTTTATAAACTATGACCATAGCAAAAAATAGAATCCCAATTCTTCTTCATAAAAGAATTTCTCCATTCTTTTTGAGCATAGAATATTGAAGTTTTTTTTTGTTGCAAACAATAATGCTTGTTAAAATAATTACATGTCCTATAACCGATAAAGTGTTATTTTTCAAAGTAAAATTATTTTTATATTTTGCATAAAAATACTCTAATGTCAAATATCTTAACGTTTTAATTAAAGTTGTCGCCCGGGAGTTCTACTGTTCCATTGAAAACGATTTCGTTTATCGATATATGTAAATAAAATATGATGTCCGTTTTTTTCGGCCATTAACCATAATGTATAGCGGTATACCTCGCAAACCGTTGGTCGTCGCACGTGCTATTGCTGGACGAGTATCGTCATAGAATGTTTCTATGAGTATCGCACTCACCGACGTGAGCAGTCCCTTGTCGTGTCTCGCCGACTGCGCCAGGCTGCTCGAAACTTCCACCATGTAAATGTTTCCTTTGGAACTTCCACAAGCTAAGAACGTGCCCTGTACGTAAATAATGCTGGTATGAACATTCTAACAAATCTTGGTAGTTCTAACATAATATCATCCTCGGTTCACACCATTTTCGCCTAATTCCGTTTTATCTACACATATGTTCCAACAACTCCCGGAGTAGTGATACCAGACCACACACAAACGCATACACCCACACACACACGCGCACTCATACATAACCTCACACACACGTACACATAAACTCACATAAACACGCACGCATAAACTAAATACAATATACAATGCAATGTTGTAATCAAGAGAATTTAAAGAGGGGAAGACCTGGTGACCTGATGTACAGACCAAAAGCCAAATCGAGAAATGTTTGCCTAAACATATACATATATTAGGTACCTTATGTAGTTAATTTCAATTATTTATTTATTCACTTAAACGCTACGATGTCAAGCCAAGGGTAACATTGAATAAGTATCATCATCTTTAGCCTTTCTTTTTTTTTTAAAGAAGACATCTCCGCACTAGAAATAAATCCTGTGTCGCAGGGAACTTTAGAAATATACATGAAACGGACACAAAGAACACCCAGACTCAGAACAGCTATTTGTGGATCACACAAAGTGTTGTTCCATGTGGGATCGAACCCACAATACTCAGCGTTGTAGGAAGCGGCAAGGTGACCGCTTAAACCGCTACGCAATCCATGCAGTATCTACTCTATACTCACACAGAGTATGTACTCAAATCTTATTGAATCATTTTTATAGTACCGGTCACCTGTTGGCAACTGACTATCGCCGCCTATGAACACTTGCAACTCTAAGAGACACAAGTCCGCTGCTGCCCTTCGAGTGACAACTACAGAGTTGATTAATACCGGTTGTCTGTGTACCGTGAGGTATCAGTCCGGTCGAGCCGGCCCTAATATGTCGAAGCTTTGGTACGAGTATTCTTATTTCGCCGATGGAACGATTATAAGGCCAATTCTCGTAATTAAAGTTCGGTCTTAATTCAGTTCCGATCAAGCATTAAAACAATAAACGTCCAACGTTGACTGTAATATGATTATAATATCATATTGTCACCGAAAACTAAATCGGTAATCTGCTTGTGACGTCTTTACTATTTTACTACGAAAATACCTTTAATAACAGTTGTGAAATCGAAAGTTGATCGGAATTGAATTGTGACCGAACTTTTATTACGAGAATTGGCCTTCAGATTGCCTTCTTGTGACGTCGATCTATTGTATGATGTATGTTTGTCGTTTAATGTTAGGGAGGTACGTTTTCTCCAAAATTGAAGGCACGCGGATATGAAATTAAAATGCGCAAGATTTGTCATTGAATCAACGCTTAAAGGTAGCTACCTACACCTTTTTTCCTTCTTTTCTTTGTCTTTGCCACTGGCTACCTATGCTTACTTTCGAGAAAACATACTCGTTAAGAACAGTACAGAAAGGGTTACATCACGTTGCTGACGTATTTTTCAAATACCTGTCCTATTCGCTGTGACTCCTGGGTTGCAGACGTTCGTGGGCGGCGGTAGACACTTTCCATCAGTTCACCCGTCCCGAAATAAAATATTAAAAAAGGAATAAAAATTGACGGCTACTATCAGTAGTAGTCAATAGCTAATGTCAAATAAGTGTGTTGTGGGGGCACTAACCGTTTCATGTGGCGAGACCTTTAACAGCGGCTCCTCGCACACCTGCATCGTGAGTACGGGTCTACTCTGGCGCCGCAGGATGTCCCACAGCGCCAACACGCCGTTAGACTGCACCAGCATTATGAGCGATAGCCTGGTGGGGCTCCACGCGCCGTGCGTCAGTTTGAAACGATGTGGTGGCGTAAACAAGACAGCGGATTCACGACATTCGTCGCTCCAAACTCGCGCCGTCCAGTCACCCACGGTCAGAAAGTTCTTCAAGAAACCTGGGTTCCGCTCCACCGTCCACACTGGCCCCAGATGACTTTCAAACTACATCAAGTCAAAAATTTGGAATATACAACGGAACGTTCATATCACCACCGGGTATCGGTATATCACGCATAGCCTAAGATCAATGGGTCAAATCTGACCCGGTAAGTGAAACATTTCCTACTATAGCCTAACTAGATTGTAATGGTCAAGTACCAACCACTATGCATTATTATCGGTTATAATCATTATAGACCCTGGGATAATTATAAATTACAATACTTGTTCACATAATGAAGATGTGACAGATTCCGTAGAAATTGAAAAGCAGTCAATCGCTTTTTTAAGACATTCTATGACACGGGCACGCCCTTATTGCGATGGTAAGGCCCGTTATGGAGGATTGGCTTCAGAGGCAACACGGTACCCTCACATAAGGGCCGACGCAGGTGAGCGAGGGTCCCGTGAGATCACTTGTGTCTGATCCGCAAAGAGTCAAAGCCTGAGTGTCATCACAGCGAAGGGGCTCGACCGTAGACACGGAGCTCCACACACTGGCAGAATGTCCGGCGTGAGTGGAGCACGGGCGTAACCTCGTGGCGGCCATCGAAATGGGAATTCGCTCGCTCGGTAATATTGCAGCCATGGTACGCAGCGAGAGCGTGTGTTACTCCGTCGTCTCCTTCAGAGCAAGTTATGCTTGCGAAGGAGATGGAGAGAATTTCTTTGCAATGAGGGTCCCATGTTGCCACTCTCAAGCTAATCCTCCATAACAGGTCTTACCACCGCAATAAGGGCGTGCCTGAGGCATAGAATGCCCTGGGCAGTAAGTCTGCCTATGTACAATTTGTGTATTAAGTTATTATAAATAAACGAGGTTTAGAACTCTTCCGATCCCCTAGGCCCGGGCCAGGTACCGCAGACGATTCCGGCGCCGGAGGTCGCAGAACTCAGGAGAGTTTTAAACCTCTGACAGTGACAGTGACTTTATTAGATAGGCTGGAGCCAGGCGTCTAGCACGGGGTTTGCCTGAGTTTCTTCTCGCTAGTTGTCATTTGGTTGCACGGTTGCTGGCACACAAGACGGGTGGTGGTGTGGTAGTGGCAGGATTTCCACAAGTGGAAAAAAGTGTCTGCATACATAAAATTAATCATTTTCTATTAAACGTTAGTTTTAGTTCCTTATGTCCAAGTCTTTGTTCTTTATCAATGGCGTGTGGTACCTATGTCCTTAATTCTATCTATCTACTACTATCATACGAATTTGATCCACAACAGTGACAATCATCTGACGGCTGACGTCACAACCCTCAGCATTGGAATGGATAGACAGGATGTTCTTCTTGGTGCCGGAAGATGTTTTAATGTTGGGTCGTGTTAGACCAGTAATATAGTTCAAGGTTTGACTCTTGGTTTGATGATCCAACTGACGTGCAGATGAGAAGTGACAATTGATATCATCTAAACCAATTGTCATCGTTATCTCAGGGCGCTGTTGTTTGCCAATGCCCAATGTATTAAGAAACTTACACATATTGGAAGACAAAGAGGTTTCTATATTTTTAGCCGACGAAAAAACGGAGGAGGGTCTCAAGTCGACGCGTGTATTTTTTTTTATGTATGACCCCGCATTGCTTTTCACAGAGTAATCCGATTTTGATCATTTTTTCTTTATTGGATTTTTTATTTAAGTTGGTTCAATCTAAATTTGAAAAACATTATCCTACCCCAAGGGTGGGTAACTAGGGGTGATTTATTGTTCACTCACAGATTTCACAAAAATTTTGAAATAAAAACTTAAAAAAAAAACTAAACCGCCGAAAATACTGAAAAGCAAAATATAATAAACCCTTTTTAGCTTAGTAATTAATATAAGGTAATTAAGTGATCTTTGTTGATTGATTGTTTGGCGCCGACTCAAAATTACTTAGGTATACTAGGTATACTTACATGACTTTACGAACTTAGTTATTAAGGTTAGTTAAAAAGTCAAAATAATTACAAAAAATTATACTTAGGTATACTTAAATTAGTTGAAGAACTTAGTAAGGTTAAATAAAAAAGGTTTAATATTTTTTGCTTTTTAGTTTTTTCGGCGGTTTATGAAGAATATCTTTGTTCATATATATAGTGGGGTCGTTTGTTTAATAATTACTTACCATGTAAGGGATCTTTTCAGTCGAAGTTTTTCCTTTTCTGTTGCCAGTAACGACTGCTCCGTTCTCCGTGCCAACCATGAAACGCGTAGGGATAGTCGGCTCAAACTCCAAACAGCTGATTCCCATAGCTTTAGCCATGGTCGGTTGTTCATTAGAGGATGAACACAATTGGATTATCATAACATCTATGGGCTCGCTCATATTGCGGATGTCCCACCACTTGCAAGCACCGTCGGGTCCACCTGAGAAGAACTCCATGCCAGTCTTTGCGTTGATGAAGCGCACGTGGCGCACGTAGTCACGGTGCGCCACGTGCTGTGGACACGTAAGAGTTGGGGTTGGGCTGGCCGTGCGGCTGTCCCATACGGCCACCTGACCGTTTAGCATGCCGCCGGCAAGTAGATCTACGTTGCGCTGATTGTACTGTAGATCCATCAGGGCTTTCTCCGGTTTCAGTATCGATAATGGTGAGTTGGCGTTTTCTAAATCCCATATGGACGCGGTAATAGGCGCACGCAAGTTTCGGTTGATATCCATGTCGACGTATGTAACGGCGAATTGGTGGCTGCCGTCCGGCCGCCAACAAATAGAAGACACCGGTCTATGGGGAGCTGACGGTGCGTCGCCTCCATCGCGGTACACGTTCACTGTGCGACAACTGATGCGTTCCACATCGGGTAGTCTTGGCATTTCGTTATAATATATTTGGTACATATCTATCGCATTGTTTTGCAAAATGAGACCTTCCATTTCCTGGAAATGAAATTTTAACAATTACGATTCGTAGTCCAGGGCGTCAAAAATAACCTATAGGATAAACCAAATACACACCGAAGCGATTGACATCACGCAATGTATGTAGCCATCGTCCTTCTCCGTCTTGCGGCGATATCTCTGAGTGGACTCCGGGTCGGTGACGATCACGTCTTTTGGCCAGCCACCCTCGGCGTGGTTTATACCAGTGGTTGTGTACTCGGCCCTGCAATAGACAGGTTAGACAACCGAAGTCATAGGCAGTTAGTGCCGCGCCACGCTCCACGTTCCACAAACAGAAAGCTAGAGACCCGTAGTACTTACCTAATGGTATTGATCTCGTGCTGTGAGAATATGGGTCCATGCTGTACGGCACTGTGCACCGGGTTCCGTAAAATGTACTGTTTGTGTTCGGGTACATGTACGGGGATAGTGTCGCACAGCTCTGGACCAAACTCACAAAACATTGGCTGACGACCGTAATTACTGCGTATTTTGGCATATTGGTAAATTATATCCATTGTATTCACCTAACAAATTATATTTATGAGTAATATTAGAATAATTAATAATGTATGATCTTAATCCAAATCTTAACCATTGGCTGTTGTCATTGCAACGTCAATCCTTCACTTCGATACCTTGTGTCAATGATTACCGCCCACCATGTTTTTTATTTTTAATAGATTATGGTAATTGTCATAATGAGGTACCGTAGAGGTTGGGTATGGGTCCGTACAGAACAGATCATCAGATTTATTAGCAGACACACTACGAGTACACTTCGTCAATCGAAACTTGTGAATTATACGTCCTGGGTAAAAAGTACGTCTTATATACAATGTGTTCTGGACACAAGCTGTCTTCGCTTCTGTAGATCGCAGCATGCAGTAGCTTTATTTCTATGGAAGTATGTAACAATTACATGCTCTGTCCGATGCTATTTTACTATAGATAATTCCTTTTTATGGTTCCGTATCTCAAAAGGTAAAAAACGAACCCTTATCACTTTTTTGTCCGTCTGTCCGTGTGTCACCACCGATTTTCTCAGGAACTGGTAGTAGCAAGTTGAAATTTATTCCAGATACTGAGGTCTATGGTCCCTATTAGGCGTATAAAAATCAAGGTCCTGAGTCAACACGATAAAAAGATATGGGCAAATTTGATTTTCGCGAAAACTTGTAAGTACCAAAATTTACCTTAATTTTCAACTTTTTTCATTTTTCAGAATTTTCTCTTTACTTGTACTGTAAGACCTTGCTTTTAACCAAAATTGACAATTCTAGGTCAACCGTAAATACCCTATAGGTTTTGGGTCGAAAACCTATATGGTAGTTCCCGTTGACCTAGAATCACGAATTTTGGCAAAAAGAAACGTCTTATAGCACAAATAAAGGAATAATTCCAAAAAATAAAAAAGTTGAAAATTATCTTAATCGAAAATCTACGTAAAATCTGGGTAGGTACGGAACCCTCAACGCACGAGTTCGACTCGTACCTGACCGGTTTTTTTTTTACTTTTATGAAAACTCAATACTTTATTCTACACCGTAACGTTACCGAGATGTTAGATTGGGTTGTTCAGTGCATTACGGACCCCATCGGGCACAATAATATTAGAGACAGGATGAAGTTCTTGTGATTAACTTAAATCAGTTATAGCAGAATAACTTTAATATTTATTTATTTTGCAAATACTTTATATGATTTAAATGGATTATTATTTACCTAAGTAAAAATAATAAATAAATAAATAATATTGCGAACATTTGGCGCACAACGCCATCTAGTTTCAAACTAAGCAGAGCTTGTACGCTGAAAGTTAGATTGACTGATATAATAATTTTATACTATTTTGTAAATACATATTAATATATATTATACATAGAAAACACCCAAACTCCGAAACAAATATTTGCAGGTCATACAAACATTTGATCCGACCCGAGAATCGAACCAAGACCTCAGCAGAGCAGTCGCATACATTATCACTGCATCACCGATACAATACATTTATATCATTTACCCTACCCTGGTATTATACCCTAAGGTGTTTTTTTAATAGGATTTTATTATATAACAATATATTTATATTACACTACATTCTATTAAATTGCTGTCAATGGCTAGGGTATTATCATTCGTCCCCGGACCCGATGGCATTCCTGGCCCTTGGTGCTTGGTAGCTTTCGAGCGCCGACTGAGAGGACTATTTAGCGTATGCCTCGAGCAGTGCCAGTTTCCGGAGAAGAGGCACCCGGCGGAATCACCATCCGCCACCGGCCCATAGTGTTGCTTGACGAGATGTGCAAACTCTTTGAAAGAGTGATTGCAAGGCGCCTCGTCAAGCATCTCTTCAGGATGGGGCACTCTTTAATTTCTCTTTTCGTCTTAGGATTTATCGTATAACACCAGTAGGTAGGTAGGTAGGTAGTACCCAGTAAAAACTTTGCTTGCGTTTTTGGACTGTTTTCTTTTCTATTCGCGATTAACTATTCTACCACCAGACCTCCACAACCTTAGTACTAGGCGGGGCCGAGGCACGAGGAAATGCTTAAAGTAACTCACATATTTAATAATTTGATAACGATTAATATCGCATCCGTTTAATATAGCTTATACCAATTAACACATTATAATAATATGTAATCAGTTTAAGTGGATAGAGTAGCTATCCTTAAAAGATAGACATGTGCCATTGCAGACATTTCTATATGTAAGGGGAACAATCCCACTGTATGCTTTGTTATATCCAAAGGGATTTGGCAGCGTTTTCGATAAAAGCTCCCTGTCTGCTTGTTTTTTCCGTCATCTTCAACAATTATCGTCATACTTCAACCAATTGATAGAAAACACTAGAGATCCGCCCCGGCTTTGCACGGGTGCAATGTAGATACTACTAATACTACAACTAATGTGGTGTGAGTGTGGAGTTATATACTATTTAATTATATACTATTATTATGATAGAACTATACTACAGGACATCTTTAAATGCACTATTGATGGACCCGCTCCGAGTCTGCCGATGGCGATGCGATTTGATTGGATAAGGAATAATAATGTATTGCTTAAAATAGCTTCGTCAATAACCCATAATTTTTTTGTAATATTTAAAAGATTAAAATGGTTACTGTGGGTTATCCTTAGGAGATAGACATATACCATCGCGAAATTCTTTTGTAGATCTTTTTAATATGTACAATTTCGTAGTACTTACATTATTTCGGTCTATCTCGTAAGGTTTAGACAGCGTTTGCAATATAAGCGCGGAAAACCGTGTTTTTTACGACAAATCTTTGAAAATTCTCGCCTTTTCTCTGCACTATAATATGCATGTAATATACATATAAAGCTTTCTCTAGAATCACCCTCTCTATTTATAAAAAACGCATTAAAATATTCTTATATTGACGGAGTTGGAAAAATAAACGAAATCTGCCATTTTGTCGTGGCGTGTCATCTTGGTCGGTCATCGGGCCATGTATATAATCTGAATCTCGGAAACCGATCCAACGACTTTCATAAAATTTAGTATGCAGGGGGTTTCGGGGGCGATTAATCAATATAGCTAGGTTTCAATATTAGAAAATTTACTAAAAAAAATACCGAGTAAAGCTCGTTTATCCAGGTACTGTTTCTTAATCAGGTTTGCAACAAAGAGTACTTCTCTTCTACCTATGTATCGATCTGTCCAAGCCGTAAGCCACATCTCTATCAAATTTCAGGTCTATCGTACAAAAAAACGACAAGTGGAATAATAACACACGCATAAGATTAAAAAATACATTTAATTAAACATTTAAATTTAATCGAAAACTTAAAATACAACACCTATAAATTATACTATTTTATTAAAATATACAATTATATTAAAATATACAATTATATTAAAATATAAAATTTTATTAAAATATACTATTTTATTAAAATATATTATGTTATTAAAATATATTATGTTATTAAAATATACTATTTTATTAAAATATACCTACTATTTCATTAAAACATACATTATTTACTAAGCTCTGATAAGTGTTCATTAGTGTGGCACTAAGCTCCAGTAATGTCCGGTGGCACGCGGCAGCTCGAGGCCAACCAAAACCATTTTACTGGAGCTGGATCACGGATTGGGTAAGAGGCTCAACATTGTTTTCTTGTGGATCATCTATGGTCAGTGAGACAATATTAGCCTTTATCTTAACTAAGATACAGTAAGAAGCGTTACATGGAGGCTATCTCTTTTTTGGCTATTGTGAAGTATTCAGCTGTCGCCTCGTGCAGGTCTTTGTCGCCAATGGTAGTGTCCAGCAAGGAGGTCACTGCCACCAGAGGTTCCCCCTCCTCTCCAGTGCGCAACTTGAGGCGGATTTCACGCAGCCTAGCCTCAAGGATCTTCTCGCGTTTGGCTTCGCGTTCAAACATCTTTAAATATGATCATAATTATTTTGACTAAAATCTACAAGTTACATGTCGTACTAAATAAAACGATTAGAGATGAAACGAATGGAAACAGACACGGAAAAAATATAGTATCTCGAGGAATGTCGGATAGTCAGCAAGTACTTGGCCAAATACCGGGTGTTAGATCTGGGTATTTCGTAAGTGACTGGTACTGCATTAAGAGAGAAACAAAGGATTTAATTTAAATGTGCACAAAACATTTTGAAGCGATGTACGCCGCGGATCTCGTTTGAGCGCAGCTTCACCGCTAAAACATGGTGAAAATGTGACACTTACCGCTGTCATCAGCCCCTTGTCGTGTCTCGCCGATTGGGCGAGGCTGTTCGACACTTCCATCATGTAAATATTGCCTTTAACGCTGCCGCAAGCTATCAACGACCCCTGAGAGAAGACAATATGACGTATGTTATTGCACCTGACCGGTCTTCAGGTTTTACCAGTAGATTAGACAGGACATACTACAAACTGAAAATAAATAACTGCTCCATTTATATAACTACTGTTGCCGAATCTAAAAGATCTACTGACATACACGGAAGAGTTCATATCTGTATCCCCGAAGGGTTACGCAAGTCGTTTTGAACACTGGATAGCCTATCCATGCTATTGTTAACTGTGATTGCTTCTCACTCACGTTACAGCAATAAAGTTTATTAAGGCAACTTAAAACAAAATTGAGATTGTACTGGAAGGAAAAAGTAAGTGAAGGAAAAAAAAGGAACGCGTTGTTGTTTGTATATCAGGCGTTAGGAGAATGTCACGTCAAATTGACTGATAAAGATTTTGCTCTATATAATATACAAGTTATGATATAGCGTATGTACTACTCGTATACGTACTGCTGTACGTATATATAACGTAGTTATGTGTTTTTACAACTTGTGTGCTTAATCTCTTATTTGCCACTTTAGAGCCGGCCGTTACACTAATGTATATGTAGGCTATACATTTTTGTCTGATAGTAATCAGATACAAATGTTGCTGACCCGGCAAACGTTGTTTTGCCATTAAAAAACAGGGGTTGAGAAGGGTAAAGAAGTTGTATGTATTTTTCAATGCTAAATCATAATAAAATAAAAATAGTTAGTCCAGAGTAGTCACCCTTATCACTTAGGGGTATGAAAAATAGATGTTGGCCGATTCTCATACATACCTACCCGATATGCACACAAAATTTCATAAAAATCAGTCCAGCCGTTTCGGAGGAGTTTGGTAACAAACACCGCGACACGAGAATTCTATATACTAGACTAGATACTATTGTATAAATATTCGTAGATATTAAGATACTAATACATATATCATTTCTTGTTTAAAATTATTATTGCTACAATGAAAACGGTTAGTAACGTTCCACTGTACGTAATGAGGTGGACTAGTTTAACTGAAAATTCAAAAATCAATATTAGCAAATTAGCTATTGCCAAAACATTATAGAAATCTTACTTCAATATGAAATATAATTACATTTGTAATAAACAACTTCAAAATATTGAATGCAAATTTAAAATTAGATCAACAACCAATTAAGGTGTTTGATAGAGACAAGATTTTGCATTTAATTGTTTCCGAGTAATACTTATAAAGTTTGGCTTTTATTCTGACGAAAGTACAAAATGTTTAGCAATGAATGAACCTTCAAATACTATCTAGAAGACAAAATACGTAGGTCTTAAGTTTTTAATGTGTATTGCTTCAGAGCTTCCAAAGGTAACATGATCCTAATATTTATTTAATATCAGACGACAGGATGGCTTAGTGGTTTGTGTAACGGACTGCTATTATAAGGTCGCGGGTTCGATTACCGCTCAAGTCAAACATTTGTGTGCATGAACGTTTGATTTGATCTGGGTGTTTCTATGTATAATATGTATGTATTTACAAAAAAAAAAAGTATATTTGTATTTATATCAGTTGTCCAGTACCCATAGCACACGCTCTGCTTAGTTTGGCACTAGATGGCGTTGTGTAAAAAAAAACAAACAAAACAATTTACTTCGTTAATACTCGCGATCACCCCTACCTCAGTCGACCATAATATAAGGAGAAATTTATTTAGTTTTTATAAAACGACGAAGGTGTGGCGATCGCGGGCACTGGCTCTATTGTAATCGTCTGTTAGCACAGGTGGTGCTTGGGCATGCACATTGAACTAACCAAATCGTGCGGCTTTATCTGCACCAGCGGCTCCTCGCACACCTGCACGGTGAGAACGGGCTCATACTGGCGCCGCAGTATGTCCCACAGCGCTAACACACCGTTGGCCTGCACCAGCATTATGAGCGATAACCTGGTGGGGCTCCACGCACCGTGTGTAATTTTATGGCGATGCGGTGGCGACCATATAACAGCTGACTCACGACACTCTTCGCTCCAGACGCGCGCCGTCCAGTCGCCTACAGTCAGGAAATTCTTCAAGAACCCTGGGTTTCGCTCTAATGTCCTCACTGGACCCAAGTGAGTTTCATACTGCAACGTAAACAGCCTGGTTCAAGTTTCAGATTGGTGACGGCCCGAGAAGGTTTCCACACGTAAAAAAAAAAGGTAACAGATTCACAATTACTAACAACGTACCGCGGCACTTAAGTGTGCTTATAAACGAGGACAGAAACATGAAAACAGTAGTTTGTATAACACTTGAACATAATAAGTTCAAGTAGGTATTATACAAACTATAAATGTTACAAAGTAAGTAATATAACAAATACACATAATATATACACAGTAAAATAGTTATTGACCTGCTCCATAGAAAGCTAGTCAAGGAAGACGTTACGCCCAATATAATTTAAGTGTATGCCACAGGATTGGAGGCCTAAGTAAGGATCATCCCAGGCCTATTCTGGTTCGGGTTTTTTTTTGGAAGAGAGAACAAATGAGCAGACGGGTCACCTGATTGAAAATTACCAGATGGAGTACCGATGCCTATGAAGAAAACGCCTGCAACTCAGGAGTCAAAAGCGCGTTGCTGGCCTTTGGGGAAGGAGTACGCTCTATTATTAAAGGTCGTATCGGTCCGGAAACACCGCAGACGATAACTTCTTCCATGGATTGGATGTGGGATGTGGCAGAATGTGTCTTAAGCAACGCACAGTGGTGTGCCAATTATACAAGTGATGTGAATAATATATTATGCAAATATATAATAATATTGTACATGCATAAATATATTAAATATTTAAGTAAGTTATTATCTTAGTCGACGTTGGATTTACGTATTTCTACACCACCCACCAATAATATATATTTATATAATAAAAAGTATTAAATAGAAAACCCTACTCGAGGGGTTTTCGAGGGGTTTTGTATGTTCCTTTTTTGCTGTGATTACGAATTTTAATTTACTATCATCAATAATCAAAAGCCCCTAAACAGTCCACTGCTGGACATAGGCCTCTCCTTACAATACCTACTTTACCACGCTTGCCAGACGGGTTGGTATAGGTTTTATTTCAAGTTTTCCTTGTCTTTGCAGTACTGTTGTCTTGCATAGTTTGCTCCCTTAGTCGGCTCTTACGATAATTTACGATAATATGGAGCAATCATTTCACAAACTGTTGGCGGAAAGTCACACCATTTTACGGCAAATAACATGAGATCGTGTCGTACTGAGCCAAAGGAGTTTTCTAAATTTATCCAACAGACTGTAATTCGACAAAATTAGCCGGTCCAGAGGTTTTTGGTATTTATTTGCTCGACCAGATCTTGTCGAATATACTTAGAAGGTGTTAACGTACTGATGGACATATTTTATATACTATATATGGTATACCATCAGGCCCTGAAGGTGATTTTGAATTTTTCTTGTATCTGAATCTTCATGTAACTAAGTAAGTAATTTATCACTGTTTCTGTCTAACTTCTCAATAATTTTCTCTTACTTTATACATCAATGTCTAGTGCACCTAGTCATACATTTACACACCACCCTAAGGTAGACTGGGAGAAAATGCCTGGGGCATTAAGTCCGCCGCTGTACAATTCGTATTTGTGCATAAAGAAGTTCCTTGGTGGAAGCTGAAGATGATGACGCCAGAACCTATACAGATTATATATAAGTACTTACACATACCTAAATACATATATAATTATATAAATACATACATACGCAAATAAATCTCAATAATATTATTAGATGACAATCATCTAGAAGTTGTAATTACCTGGAAAGGGATCTTTTCTGTTGAAGTTTTTCCTTTTCTGTTCCCAGACGCAACTATTCCGTTCTCCGTGCCAACCATAAAGCGCGTAGGGATAGTCGGCTCGAACTCTAAACAGCTTATCCCCAAGGCTTTTGCCATGGTTGGTTGTTCATTAGAGGACGAACACACTTGGATGATCATCTGATCAGTATATTCGCTCATATTGCGGATATCCCACCACTTGCAAGCACCGTCGGGTCCACCTGAGAAAAACTCCATCCCAGTCTTTGCGTTGATGAAGCGCACGTGGCGCACGTAGTCGCGGTGCGCCACGTGCGGTGGGCACGTAATGCTTGCGGCCGGACTGGCTGTGCGGCGATCCCATACTGCCACCTGTCCGCTCAGCATTCCGCCAGCGATTATATCAGAGTGGCGCGGATTAAACTGTAAATCCAACAAGGCATTGTCTGGCGTCAGTACCGCTATTGGTGCATTGGCATTTTCAATGTCCCAAATGGATGCGTTAATAGGCGCACGCACATTTCGGTTGATATCCATGTCGAGATATGTAACGGCGAATATGTTACCGTCCGGCCGCCAACAAATAGAAGAAACCGGTCTATGGGGCGCTGACGGTGCGTCGCCTCCATCGCGATACACGTTCACTGTACGACAACTCATACGTTCCACATCGGGTAATCTTGGCATTTCGTTATAATATATTTGGTACATATCGATTGCATTGTTTTGCAAAATGAGACCTTCAAGTGCCTGTAAAAACGTGAAATTGTAAAGGATTTGAATGTTAAGAGGTGTAGTGAGACCACCATCTTTTGTTGTATGTGGTTTATATTTAAAAAAATAAAAATGAAGAAAACTCAGACTTTAAAAGTCTTTGGGCGCGTGACGAAGAGTGAATAATTATGTATTTGTAAATAACTACACATTTTTTCACACTTTCCTTTTAAACCATAAAAAAATGTTTCGTCTTTTAGAAATTAGTCACAATGAAGTGTTTCAACGGCGCGGACTGGGCGTTTTAGTATGAGCTAGTTTTATTGATGCTCTTAAAGATAATATTCGAACAGAAAATGCGAACATCACAGAACGGGCCTGTCGCTCAGTCATCGATTGTCAGACGCCGCTAGAGCCGCTGCCGTAATAATATATCGTAGTATACCGTCATCTTGAAAATAATAATTGCCATTTAATGAAGTGTAATACGAAATTAAGATATTTTTCTTATTGTTATATGTTTCTGGAAGGAAATTCCTTATAGTGTGTTACACGCTCGGAGCGGATGGGAGCGAGACCGCAAAATGTGTAACAAGACTTTTTTCCAACACTTTTCGGAAGACTTCTCACTTCTCTTCGTTTAATTTATACTATAAAATATCAAGATAATAACTCGATATTTTATCATATAAATTATTAATGACTGAATAGCAAACGGCTACCAAAAAACGAGAGGACCGGGGTTCCAAAGACCCCTTACGCCGTTTTTTACTAATTATTTACATTGCAAAAGACACTTGGACCTCTCTGTACATGAAACGCATTCGTGGGCGTCACAGCCATGCTTCGGCTCTTATGTGCTTCCAGTGTGATACCAAAGCCTCACTGGCACTCGGTGCTTAGTAATTCTTTCGATGCTTTTCAACGAGTGACTGAGTCATTATCGGAGACGCGTATACATCGGTTCCTTAAATAAAAAGTTTTATTAAACGTTTAGTTACGAGTATTTTATTAATATGTATTATTTACTTTTCGTCAGGCGCTTGTGGTAAAAGTTTGTGATTTTCAGGGTTCCGTACCGCAAAAGAAAAAAAGGAACCCTTATAACCCTGATCACTCTCCTGTCCGTCTATCTGTCCGTGTGTCATCACCGATTTTCTAAGAAATGGGTGGACCTAGTAAGTTGAAAATTACACCAGATACTGAGGCATATAGTCCCTAATAGATGTATGAAAATCAAGGTCCTGAGTCAACACGATAAAAAGATATGGGCAAATTTAGATTTTCGCGAAAATTTGTAAGTACCAAAATTTGACTTCATTTCCAACTTTTTAATTTCGCAATTTTACCAGTAATCACTAGCACAACAATACACACCGGAGCGGTTGACATCACGCAATGTATGTAGCCATCGTCCTTCTCCGTCTTGCGGCGATATCTCTGAGTGGACTCCGGGTCGGTGACGATAACGTCTTTTGGCCAGCCACCCTCGGCGTGGTTAATACCAGTGGTTGTGTACTCGGCCCTGCAATAGACAGGTTAGACAACCGAAGTCAGAGGCAGTTAGTGCCGCGCCACGCTCCACAGCTAAGACGAACGAAAAGCTACAGACCCGTGGGACTCACCGAATGGTATTGATCTCTTGCTGTGAGAATATAGGCCCATGCTGTACAGCACTGTGCACCGGGTTTCTCAAGATGTACTGTTTGTGTTCGAGGACATTTACGGGGATAGTGTCGCACAGCTCTGGACCAAACTCACAAAACATTGGCTGACGACCGTAATTGCTGCGTATTTTCCCATATTGGTAAATTATGTCCATTTTGTCGAAATAAATAGCTTACAAAATATTATAAAAAATAAGGAATGTCAAAACCTTTCGAGACAATGTCACATTTTTAGATAACTTCAACTTTTGTCTACATCGGACAGGTATTGTAGCGCCATCTGTCCCTTAATTTTCAAGTTATCTACTAGTAATACGAGTAAATCATTACAGAGTGTGTAATGTAAAAAAGACCCGCATTCCTGTATAAATAGTAATATATATAAAAACAACAAAAAATAAAATTATGTTTTATACAATTATTTGTAGAAATTAGTGCAAGAATAAAAGTTGTAGTTTGGGGTGGACTGGGGCCTAAACTAGGTCAATACATATAGGTATATATATATATATCTGAGGCCTCCAGAATTCACACCCAAGCAGTTTAGTTGGTTGATGGATTGTTATGCGTTTGTATCTGTGTGTATGTGTACGTGTGGTGTATTAGTTTGTGTAAAGTGTGCGTCGCTTAACAATAGTGATTCTGTGTCCGAATATGATAGGATAATCAAATAATTATGTATGGATAGCAGATTATACTTTTATGTCGTTTTGGAGAAAATATTCAATATTGTGTTCATTGTACAAATATGATGCAAGAAAGAAATGTTGTCGTCTGAGAAACGCAGTTTTATGATGAATGGGATCACTAGTTTTATTTCATCTTCGGGATGAGTACATGGTAGGCGGGTCATAGTGATTTACTTTATGTATGACATTGGCATCTTGATATTAATTGATTGTTGGAGAACAAAACGGCTTCCTAAGCATAATCGTATGTGTAATAAATACTAATAGTGAGTCAACTCAGCAACGCCGGGGCGCGGTATGAAGGAGAGCGGAGTCCCCCTCCTGCCCGCGACGCCTGCGGTGGTACGCCTGTTTAGGAGTGTCACGCACGCATCTGTTGCACGCGTTTTGTGCCACACAAGATTACTCGCAATAGTTTTATTATTTAATTAACTCACAGTAGTACTATTATCTCTTTACTTTACTAATCTTTGTACAGTATATAATAAAGTAGCTTCTTTCTTTTACGCTTATGTCTTCTGAACTAAGCTACGGATTTTAATGCGGTTTTTGACCAATAGAGACAAGAGGAACGTTTATATTATAAAAAATAAAATATAAACTAAAATATAAAATTGAATATAAAGAGGTGAAAACCAAATTTAAAAATTCGTGAGCGTGAGCACACCTAGTGAGACCTGTGTTTCAAGCAATCGCTTGACTATGTTAGTTAGAAGACGTTCATGTGTTAAACTTCTAATAGATTGATAATGTTAATTACTTCAGACTGGTTTGTATGTATGCATTAAACATATTGGTTTGTATGTATAATGCATGCATATTATACCTACTCGCAGTATAGAAAATACGAGAATTACGACTGCACGAATCGCGTAGTAGTTTAAGCGGTTGCCACGCCGCTTACTACTACACTAACTGCAGTGGGTCCGATCCCCACATGAGACTAAACTTTGTGTGATAAACAAATTGTTGTTCTGAGTCTAGGTGTTCTTTATGTCCGTTTCATGTATATTTGTAAAGTCCCCCGCGACACAGGATATATTTATTCCTAATGCGAGAGTTGTCTTTTTTGAAAATAGAAAAAAGAAAAAATTCAAAGATTTGTTTTAAAAAACATGTTTTTACGCGCTTGTATTGCAAACGCTGGCTAAACCTTACGAGACAAGTTCTTCAAAAAAGTCGGCGATGGTATTTTATCTTTACACACTACAAAAAATAATGGCATTACCAAACGTCCTTTTTAACACACAAATTAGTTTTCCAATTTGAATTTTGCACAAATTTGTAAAAAATATCAATGTCAAAATACATCGTTTATTATATTTACCATTGGATTAGCCAATCAGGAAACTGTAGTTCATTAATTTAGCCAGTGTAGGAGTTCAAAAATCGAGCGTCACCGAACTACTCTTTACTAAAAATTACTTACTTTTCGTATTATTTCTCTATGATTTTTATCAATTTTACATTTAGTTTTATCATATAGTTATGATCTCTATGTAAACATTAAAAAAAAAAACAATTCCGAAAAATTACTGTTGAAAAATACGCCATAAATGTATTTGTTCTTTTGAAAGTAGGCAAGGCGACTAGTGGCAGACTGTTTAGAGGAGCGTACCATCGTGTAGGAGGACCGAGATGGTAATCTGAGGTGTAGGCCCGTGTCGTGCGGTGTGAAATGAAAAACTCATTGGAACGAAGTTCTTTACCGCGCGTTTCACGCTCTGAGCGGATGGCGGGGCCTAGACTAAATAATGTGTAACAAGACTTTTTTCCGACACTTTTTTGCTATAGTACGCACGCACTTGCTTAGATCTTTTAACCTAAGCAACGAATTTTAATGCGGTTTTCACCAATAGAGAGGGTAAATCAAGAGGAAGGTTTTTATGTATGATACATGTATATTATGGTACAGGAAAACCGAGAACTTCAAAGATTTGTGATAAAAAACATGTTTTTGTGCGCTTACATTGCAAACGCTGGCTAAACCTTACGAGATATCTTAAAAAGATCTCCAAAAAAAGTTGAGAATAGTATATGTCTATCTCATAAGAACAAACCACAGTAACCATTTTTATCTTTTAAATTTTACAAAAAAAAATGGCCTCTTCACGAAGCTATTTTAAAGAATACATTATTATTCATTTAAATACGTTAGATACGTTGTGCATTTATTGTTGATTAAAACTGCTTTTAACAGCATATCATTAAAATGAATATTTTAGAAGATATTAGAGATTTAAAATGCGTGGGCAAAGTGTGTTCGCGATCGGGACGTACGTCCGAGGCCGTCCCGGGTGACAAGGACCCCGGTTTGGCGCGAGCGCGTTGCGAAGCGTGCTCGCTTCTAAGGAGTGTGGAGAAATTAATTAAACTATTATTATGACAGGACCCCAGGACAGCTTTATATGCAATATTTATAGTGCCCTGGAGTTTATGCACCTTAACCGCCCAACTGAGGATTATCATTAGCATTCTCCATTAGAGACATCCATGTTGAACGAAGTTAAGAAAGACTCAAAACTCATTAATTATGAATTTAATTTATAAATTTAAATAGCAAGTAGTAGTGAATATTTATATTTGCGTTATGTGCTTGCGGTAGATTATATGTACAAGCAACGAGTTGCAGTGCAACAAAAGTCTGGTGGACAGTGAACCCCGACCGCCCAGAACTCAACCTTCCGCTGATATACTTCGACAAGTACGTCCGCCTCATAATTCTACAGGGAGGTGCCAGAGGCGCGCCCTACTTTGAGCCGTCAGAGCCCTTCTCGAAGTTGTTCATAAATATGTATACCTCGTACAGCGTTGGAGCTAGATAGAGACAACTTCAAGGACGAGGTGAATAGAAAAATTCAGCTGGGTTGGACAGCGTTTGGGAAGCTACGAAGCTCTCATCGTCGTTCCTACAGTGCCTAAAGACGAAAGTCTTAAAATGAGTGCGTCCTACCCGTCATAACATACGGAGCCAAAACGTTACCACTTACGGTACGGCTGGTCCACAAGTCGCTCAGCGTGCTATGGAAAGAGCTATGCTCAGCGTTTCTCTAAGGGATCGCATCAGGAATGAGGTGATCTGGCAGAGAACCAAGGTTATCGACATAGCCCACCGGATGAGCAAGCTGAAGTGGCAGTGGGCTGGGCATATAAACGAGTTCTTGAGTGGAGACCACGTCTAGGCAAACGTAATGTAGGACGCCCACAGACCAGGTGGAGTGGCGATCTGCGCAAGGTAGTACAATGGGAGAGGCCAGCAATGAACTGCGATAGGCTGATAATCAGCATTATCATTTGTTCTATGTCTAGGTGCAAGTTAACTATAATATGTATGTATTTAGAAATATATACGTATGTATCTTTATCTCCAGTCTGGTTCAAGTATAATTTCATTTCATAGTACAGGCTCTACATAGTTTGTGATCAGACGGATGTGTGTGGTATGTGTGAAGTGATTATTATTATTGGGAAGCTTCTTTTAAATATTGCTCAATAGTATTTTTTTACTCGTAATTAATAATTTTCTGTGACCTCCCTTTGCGTACCGAATAAGAAGTTGTTTTGATATTACCACCCTATTCATTTTTAAGCTATCAGTTAAATAATGACTAGTGCGTCTCAGAAAGGCTGCAAGATCAAAGTCGGCTTTAAGAATACTCGACATGGCTCTTACAAAATGGATTACATTCATTTCCCGAGATTTCTTTGTATTTTTTTTTTAATAAAATAACCCCCACTGCTTTGATTGCCTTTTTTTGTAGGAAAACTGCATGGACGACCAAATCTTTTGCTGTCATAAAAAGGTTTCATTGTACCTGTCTATAGCCTAAATCTATATATAACAAATACCAAGAGGATGGAGTTTTAAAAGCTGCAATTGGGTTCAACCTATCATATAAGAATGACAGATTGTCAATTCAAATTAACTATTGTTTTTATAGTTGTAACAGTATTAATGCCCAGGTCAAGGAAATAAAGTAAAAATAATAATAAAAGCCTAACCAAATCAATAAGTTGAAAGCACAGAGAACAGTAATATGTAGAAAGTTTCCGTGGTGCTGTTGCTGGTGTCGTTGGATATCGCCAACGCATTCTATAGTCTACCATTCAGCTGCAATAGGGAAACATTTACGGCGGGTGCCAGAGTATTTAAGGCGGTTAAATGCGGACGTAGTGCTGGCTTTGTGGCCGTAGAAGTGCTCCAGCCGATCATCGCCAATTGCGCAGGGCGGCAGCTTGGGACCCTACCTTCTGATTGACGCAGGTCCTCCACTTGCTCGCTAGGAGGGAAGTGAAGTCAGTAGTTCGATTGCAGTGAGGACTTGGTTCAGCACATGCTGGCAATTTGCCAGATTTAGCCGTCGTAGCGTCGGTCCCGCATTATAGTCGTCGGAGAGAATACGCCGTCATACGCTTAATGTCAGTAGCTTCAGATATTTTACAGCGGTCGCATGCTTTCTGCGAGATGACGTCTACGCAGAAGGAGGCGTTGGAGAGGGCCCGGGTGACGACCTCCACTCGAATGTCATTCACCGCCAGTGAACCGGGCAGCGGAGTCTTAATAACGGTCTGGATGTCTTAATAACAGCTGTTCCCGGATCCCTCCTATTTCAGGCGACACTTCTGCAGTTTCGCTGTTATTTTTTAGCTACATGATATCAATTTGTTCAATCGCTTATTTATAGATAAGGTGGCAAACAAGTAGACGCGTCACCTCATGGTAAGCTACTACTGCCGCCGCAAGAGAGACAAATGCCATTGCCGTCTCCCTCTGCACGCTGAGTTGGACCTTGGGCTATAGGATATATGTAAGTACTATAACAGCGTAGGAGATGTACAATAAAACTATTAAAAAAGTTGTATAAATGTTTAATAAGTACATCTATAAATGACCGCAACTAACTACTCCACATAAAATTATAAAAGCATAAACGTAGTATAAAATAATATCGTCATCAATAAACGCACTCAAAATAAAATAGGAGTTCTAAAACTAATTCGTGTAAAAATTTAAGAATTTCTATAAATAATATTGTCTAGTTCAGTTCTCTACAATAACTGAATGTGGACAGGCGGGGCAGGACATTTTATCTCAATACAAACAAGACGAAGGGATGCCACATCTCAAAATGATTGCCATACTTGAGTATTTGATTTAATGTCATTCATATTATATAACACATTTGAACACTATTAGGCGTGAGCTTTAAGTATATATAAATATTCATATAAATTAAAAATTACTTAAAAAACAATATTTCCAAATAGGATACAGAACTACAGAGGTTCTAAGAAACCTGTTGTTCCTTGCGGACGACAGCCAGGTATTCGGCCGCAGCATCGGCCAGGTCCCTGTCGCCGAGGGCGGCGTCCGACTCGGCACTGGCGGCCGAGGGGCTGTGCTCCTCGCCTTGGCGTTGCTTCAACCGCAACTCGCGGAGTCGCGCCTCCAATATGCGCTGGGTTTTGGTCTCGCGCTCGAATATCTGCGACAGCGATCACACATTAATTACTGCGCCACACATTGTTAATATCTAGTTTAAAATAAAGTATTAATAATCTTTTCTGAACTGGAAATGTCATGAATCATCATCGTCAACAGTTTTAATTTGTCTACTGCTAGACATAGGCTTCTCCTTAGAAAAGAGGTTTAGGCATATTATACCATTGAGATGGATATACCGCCATCGGTCGGTCTAAGAAGAAAGAAGCCCAAAATCGATGTAAGTGGCGTGCAATGGGAGAGGCCTATGTCCAGCAGTGGGACTGCGATAGGATGATGATGATGATGATGATGATACCACGCTGGCCAGACGGGTTGGTATTGGGTTTGTTTTAAATTTTCTAATTCTTTACAGTGCTGTTGTCCTGCGTTTGTCGTCGGCTCTCACGACACCCATGGGATGAATAGGGGTGGTGACACTCCGTATTCTTAATCCGTTACCACACGAATTAATATCATGAGGGATAAACCATGACTGGTTTAGTCACAGACGGTAGACATGGTGGTAAAGAGAAGATCAGCGACAAACTCGAAGTTATTGCCAAATCCTGAGGTTTAGTAAAGTAATGGCTTATATTTTTGGAACAAAGTTCCTTACCACGCGTTACACGCGGGAGGCGAGATCGAAAAATGTGTAACAAGACTTTTTTCCGACGCTTCTTGCTATAGTCACAGCCGTGTATGAATTATATACATCGCTGAAGGAAAGACTCGACGGCTCTCTTCTCCTTGTTATTAACTTAATTATCCCAGATCATTCAGTGTTTAATTTATAATTATTTATTTTATACATAATGAATACATTTCATCATAAAATTTTCAATTTAACTCTATTAACTTGATATTTTATAATATAAATGATAATGACTGTATAGCAAACATCTAACATAAAGCGAAAAGAATTTGTTTCCGACCGGGGATCCATGGACCCTTCGCGTCGTTTTTTATTTTACAGATGATAGGTTTTCTGTGGTGTTAGTGGAAACACCACATACCTTCGGATCTCCTTCTCCTTAAAGACGCAGAAGCCAGGAGGGCTTCTGCGTCTTTAAGGAGAAGGAGATCCGAAGGTATTTTCCACCCCGTCACCAAAAAGGTCCCCAGAGTACAAATATAGACTTGTGCGTGCTCATTGTATTCTTTTACGAAATTCTAATCACCAATGCCGGTAAATGAACTTAGGTACACTAACTAACCTGGGCCAAGAGTGCCTTGTCGTGCCTGTCAGAGTACGTCAGATGCCCCGTTAGTTCTTGTAAGTAGACGTTGCCATTACCGCTGCCGCAAGCGAACAGTTTGCCCTAAAGAAGATTGGCACAATCTATTAATAGAATCGCACAAGATCCTTCTAAATTAGGGCGTAATCCTTGGGAAAATGAATTCAAGGATTGGAGACATCGTTGGTGTTTTGTTTTATTTTCTCTCAAGATGGTTTTTGGCATTTGATGTTTAAAGCAGAGATTGTGGATGTCAGTACCAGATTTGTAAGTGGGTATACAACTGATTTAACTACTACTTGTACTTGCACCGGTGTGCCTGGAAAGTGTGAAAACATTTTTGTTTAGTGAATTTTATATATGTCATAGTGGTGTGGAATTTGCTAATCGATTTACGATTTAAATGTATGAGTGTATTATGTACTGACCTGCTCGTGAACGCTCACACGCAGGAGAGGTTTATCGCAAACTGGTATCGTGAGCACTGGTTCGTGTTGCCGCCGGAGTAGGTCCCATACCGCCACCACGCCGTTACCCTGCGTGAGTAACATGAGGGACACTCTCGTGGGGCTCCACGCGGCATCCGTGATCTTGTACCGTTGGTACGGCGTCCACATGATACAAGACTCGCGAATTTCTTCACTCCAGATGCGCGCTCTCCAATCGCCCACCGTGAGGAAATTCTTCAAAAAGGAGGGATTACGCTCTACCTTATATACTGGGCCTAGCTGTGCTATGTACTGTAACAAATATTTCATGGTGATTTTAAAATGAACTTTTTATTTTGGACAATTACTACAGCTTATATGTAAAACATGTATCTGGTTCGCCAATAGCTAATATGGCTCAACCGAGACCTGCTTGAGCAGATTATCCAATATATGCCACATTAACTGACCTGGTCAAATACATCATGATGCTACCAATAGAATACTCATGATCATCATCATCAACAGCGTTTAACAGTCCACTGCTCGACATAGGCCTCTTCTTAGAAAGGAGATTTTGGCCTACTATACCACGCTGGCCAGACGAGTTGGTATTGGGTTTGTTTCAGTTTTTTTTCTCTTTGCAGTGCTGTCGTTCTGCAGAGCTTGCTTCCTGTCAGCTCTTACGACAACCACGGGATGAATAGGGGTGGTGAAACTCAGTATTCTTAATCTGTCACTGTATGGTCGATACAATATTAGTGTGGTGGCAATAAAAAAATAATCGTCTGAGTTGAGCTGGGCGTGTACAAAATTAATACAATACCAACGTAACTCCAAGTTTGTTAAATTATGATTTGTATTTATACAAAAGTATAAGTAAGCTAAGTATGTATGAGGCCTTCGTTCAGCAGTGGACGGCTGTAGGACGATGATGAAGTATGTATGTGCTACAATAAAATTAATATAAATATACCGACAATATTTAAATACAAGCATTAAAAGATTTCTCGTGCCAATGAAAGGTGTATATTGTAGTAGCTAGCTCAGCTTAGCTTACTAGCAGTAAAAAGTAGCCGATGTAACTTGCTGATACTGTAGTTTTTCTTTGATGAAAGAATTTTTAAATCGGTTAGTGGATTAGGCGTGAAAGTGTAACAAACAAACAGAGTCACATTCACATTTATAATATACAAGTATGGAAGTATGGATAACTAGTAGCATACCACTAACATGCATCTTTTTATGCGTGTTTATTAACAGGTATATAAAAATGGTATTACATACTTTTCCTGGTAGTTTGTCGGCTGCATTTTTCCCTTTACGATTGCCTACCATGACTAGACCGTTTTCCGTGCCCACCATGAAGCGTGTTGGTATCGTAGGCTGGTACTCTAGTGAACTGACGCCATTAGAATTAGTTAAAGTTGGTGTGTCATTGACAGACTTGACCATTTCCAAGATCAACTCTTCCGTCGGTTCGCTCATATTACGTAAATCCCACCACTTGAGCCCACCATCGGCGCCCCCCGAGAAGAATTCTGTTCCGCTCTTGGTGTTGATGAAGAGTACGTTGTGAACTAGATCACGGTGTGCCACGTGCGGCGGACAAAATAACGTGGGTTTGCCAGCAAAACGCCTGTCCCATGAGCACACCTGCCCGTTCATAAGCCCACCTATGAGCACATTCAAATCGCGCGGACTCCACTGCAGATCTATCAGTGGATTGGGAGGGTACAAAGTTTCCTCGATTTTGTTGGGGTTTTCTACATCCCATATGAACGCGTCCATGGCGCTTCGAGTGTTCCTATCGAAGTCCACGTCCACATAAGCCACCGCAAATCGCCGGCCGCCATCCGGTTGCCACACGATGGTGCTGATGGGTCGGCCGGGCGCGTTCTTCGGCTCGTCGCGATATACATTCACGGTGCGACAGTCGCAATGCTCCAATTTCGGGAGCGTCGGCATATCCGAGTAATACGTTTGATACATCTCAATAGCGTTGTTCTGGTAAATATAGCGCTCCATCGCCTGCATTATGAGCAATCACATTAATGTACTTAAAATTATATACCAGTATGGAGATACCTATTTGCTAAGGTTAGGGGACGTCCATTAATTGCGTGAGGGTTTTTCGGTGATTTTCTGATCCCCCTATCTCCCTGGTGAGATGTCGTGAGGTTAAATTCATCCCACCGCCTGTACACTAAAACACACTTTTAAAAATCTCACGTAAAGCCTAGCGGTGGCGCAAACAAAACGACGGGCTACAGTGCAACTTCTCGGCACTCGCAATACCATGATAAATATTATTGTTTGAGACTAGGGCATATTTTCGTGGAGCAACATGTTTTACTTAATTTAACGCAATTTTACTGTTTCTTGCCGATAAAAACTTAGGTGATATTTGCCGAGACCTCCCTACCCTCAAAGTAATATTAGATGAGATTCGGCTCGACCTCCCCTGAACGCCCCACGTTATAAATGGACGTCCCCTTATGTGGCAATAAAACGGGGTGGCCTATTTGATGAAACCAGGAATAACTACAATTTGGTTTAAAAGTATAAGCTTACCGGTGCCAGAGTCATCACGCTATGTATATACCCGTCCTCCTTCTCGACCCGGCGGCGGTACCTCTGGACGGCCTCCGGGTCATGCGTGTTCACGTCACGCGGCCACCCACCCTCGTCATGATCCATTCCGGTGTTCGTGTAGTCCGCACTGCAACATTACTTACGTAACATATCAGATGGCACAGAGCGTGAGGCGGACGCGCGGAACGTTATATGCTCTCACCAGGGAGTATTGGTAGTGGCCAGGGAGAGGGGCGCCGTAAACTGCACGTGGCGGTGCACGGGATTGCGCAGTATGAAGTCACGCTGCAGCTGGTGGTTCGGTGGCACCGAGTCGCACAGCTCCACTCTCGTCTCACAGAACAGAGGTTGGCGACCGAAACTACTTCGCGGGGCGTCATACGTGTAATGTATATCCATTTCTGTATATATATGTTGTATATTTGTACAAAAGTATAGGTACAAAATAAAATGTTTAAAACTATAAGTATAATCACAAATACGTCTATCAAGAAAAGTTGAAAATCACAAATTGTCATCTTTGACACCAAAGAGTATACGATGTGAGCAATGACCTCTGTGGTTAATTCAATATTGGTAAATTAATATTGTCCTGTAGCTGTTGTTGCTTCTGACTGTTTCCTCATGAGGATCTTCTAAACAGCTATTCTACAGAATTAGGTCAGAATTAGGTTATGTGTCTCATGATCTGTGCACGTCTTACTCAACAATAGATTAGTCATGTAAACGACTAATCCATTTTTGAGTAAAAGAAATACAAAACAGACCAAACCCCACGTTTAAATGTGTAATGATATGTAAAAATAATAAATTTACATAGAATTAAATGAAGTCGTTTTCCGTTCCTGTACGTTTAGACCTTTCGTACTACGCAACGGATTTTAATGCGGTTTTCATCAATAGAGAGAGAGAGAGAGAGAGAGAGAGAGATTTAAGAGGAACTAGTCATTATAGTTAATTGAATCATAATAATAATATTAATTACTCCACATCAGCACTAAATTAGTATCTAACGTGCACCCGTGCGGAGCCGGGGCGGATCGCTAGTGTATAACATATTTAAGCGCAGTATTGACACTCAGTAGTAATGACAAGATTCTGCTCGCTATAGCTGCCCCTCTAGGGCCATGAGTATTTGTACTCTATGGGTCAATTTTCATTTTTATTGACGCATTGAATACAATGCAAAAATATGATGTGATATATTTAAAACATGTGTCGATAATCAATGCAGCTGTAAAGTTATAGTAATGAAAATTAACTGATTCCCGTGGTGATGCGGCACGTAGCGGGGAAGATACATAGCTGAGTGTGTCGTGTAAGGGAGAGAGTTGTGAGTTGCAATGGAACAGTTCCCGATGTTCCGGCTGGCCACGTTGCTCGCGCGGCAGGTCAGCGCGCCCATCGCCAACAGAATCAAAGTATATATGTGACTTGACAGCCACAGTTTACTTGCACCCGCTAGGTTAGCTAATTAATGTGCGACTGGATCAGGTGTTGATCACATTGCGTGTCGAGCGTAGAGCGTATAGAGTACGGCAATGCCATGCCACAGAAGTATAAGATAGTATGGAACTTTGTGTAAATGAACCGTTTATATGTGTTGTGCCTAAAACATTTGCTATATGCGTTGACCAGAAAAAATATTCTTGAAACATTCTTTTGCGACTGACTGACTGACCTTACAAATTATCACCAAAATATTCTGTTTTATTTCATTAAAATCTTGTGTGCTGTGTAAAAGAGTTGAAATGTTCTCCACCTCACTATATTCTTACTATATTATCTTTTCCGACAATGTGTGTCAAAATCTCCCTTGAGCGTACCACCGGGATGTTGTCTGACGGTACTTCATCTGTCCGTTCGAAATGTCGATACCTTCTTGCATAGTGTCTACAACCATATATGTGACAACTACTTAAGTGCAGTTATCACATATATGGTTGTAGACCCTGTATACTCCCGCTATAATTAAGTTGAAAAGTTTAAGTATAGATTATTGAAATAGCTATTTAAATAAAAAAAAGTATTGTAAAATATTTTTCTTAAAAGTTACAATTGTCGCCAGGTGCGTTGACAGTTCGAAAAATGGTTACATTACAGATTCTAGTTTTTCACGTTGATTAGTCTTGTCAGGTGTTCGATTTGTCGTCAGGAATACGCGAGCAGGCACCCCTGGTTCAGCAAACATGTGTGCATGGCGGTGGGGCAACTGCACAACACTGCGCAGTTGCGCTTTAGGATGTGGACCCTGGCGCTTCGGCAGCCGAAGGCGGTAACGCCTCTTTCTGACTCGGCCGCACTGGAAGCCGGCGGCAACATACTCGGTACGTACCTAATACATTTTAATATAATAATAAAAGAATATTGTCGAAAGTATAATTATATTTTGTCAACAGGTGAAATTGTTATATTTTTTCTGGGATCGCTAATTATAATTTTAGAGGTGAACAGACAAGCTAACAATCAGGAAGATAAGGTGCGTATATCTTGTGTACACAGTCCATAATTGATAACTATTTATGCTGTATTGTGCTGTATAAAGCCATACACTGGCGTGTGGTGACAGATTATGAATACGGAGTATCACCACGCCTATTCATCCCGTGGGTGTCGTAAGAGCCGACTAAGCAGCCGACCGAGCAAACTACGCAGTACATTAGCGCTGCAAAGAGAAGGAAAACTTGACACATGCTCTATACTAATCCGACTTTCCAGCGTGGTATAGTAGGCCAGAACTTCCTTCCTAGGGAGAGGTCTCTGTCCAGCAGTGGACTGTTAAAGGCTGTTGATGATGGTGATGGTATTGTTTTGTGTGTATCTTATCCTATCGTATCTTGAAAAAATTACTAGTTTACTAGAAAATATATGTAGTCATTGTTAGTAATAAAAATTTCTTAACGTTTAATGTTAAATTTTACTTAGGCATTAATAGTAGTGGGAAAAGCGTAGTAATAGGATGCTTTACTCATGGTAAGACCGAAACCATATCGACCTATAATCTAGAAGTAACTAATGTTGTAATTCAGTATTAATTCATGCCTGGAGTGTCATACGATACTCACAGTTACTTAGTTCACAACAAAACGGGAGAACTTGAAGATCTCAAGATACACAGATTTTTTAAATGTTACTTTTAATTATTAGAGTAGACCTCTGTTGTCAGGTCCGTATATCTCATAAGGAGCGCTCATGAACATTGCAAGAGTTATAAAAATATTTGTTTAGTTTGTACTACAATAAAAAAAGTAAATCGCCGGTGACTCTTAAATTTAGTGAAAAATCACATCTGATAGGTCTTCACATCTTACCCTGCCACTAAGAGAATCACTTTTCTCGTTCGCCATCACCTCCAGACCAGTAAGTACGGGTTTCGCACGTCTTGTTATAATATGCTAAGTAGAACCTACAGTTTGTACTGCTTTTGTAAAGCCTCTCTACTAAAAAAAAAACTTAAACGTTCACCTCTTATTTCACACATAATGCATTAATTTACAGGAAAATATTTAAAATATATTTCACACATATCAAATAAACCTGAATTCTATTCTCTCTCCAGTATCTATTTAAAAAAATGCTAATGAAATTCGTTTTATTTAGGAGCTGAATATACAGTCGCAATGGATGGCGGTGTTAGACCAGCTGGAGGAGCTACAGCGAGAGCTGCGCCTGCAACAGGAGGACATTGACCGACTATTCGCCGAGTTGCGCGACTTCGCACCACACCTGTTCCCGCCTGTGCCCACAGAGCCACCAAACTTGACACCGAAGCTCTCACTCAACACACCTGATCATGCAGAAGAAAACAAACCTAACACATCTGCTTAGTTTTTAACGCAACGGTTAATAAACCTATGTAGGTTAAAGGAATACAATACGGCTTTATCTAATTCAGTAATGTCATTTTATGAAACAAGTTTTTTGATGTTTATTATGAGTGATGTTTTCAGTTCTGTCCTGAGTTTTTACATTAATTTTAATACACAGCAAAGGATATTTTTTTGGCGGTACAGCCTTCCCAGCTACAAAGGACAGACCGTAGGAGCTAGGAGCAAAACATAAGCAGGCTTGTATTCTTATCCCTTTTTATTTTTGTTACTTTGGTTTTATTTTTGCAATAAAACATTATTATAAACCAGCTTTTATTATCTTTATCCGTAACTAAACCCATTCCGGACACCGGAGCAAATACAAAGAGTAGAGGGCCTAAGGAACTCTGCACTGTGATTCTGACTAGGTCCTGACGTCGTCACAGTGGACGTGGCTTAAAGTTAGAACACTCAACGTCCGTACTGTGCACTTGTGTCGCTAAATCGCAAATCGGTAAATATTTATGGTATTCCAAATACCGTACCATAATATTCGGATAGACGTTTTATTGCTATGGATGGCATCAAATTTCATTTGTAATCATAATAACTTTTAAAGTAAGTTAATTTATTGCATATATTTATCCGGGATCTTGGACTAAAAATCAAAATCAAACGCATAGGTCTGTGTCATATTTTATTAAAAGGTAAATTTATTTGAAATACGAACATAAAATGCTATTTACAGCAATAAAAAAAATAGAAGTATTATACTGTCATCATTTCCCGCTTTTTCGTCTGCTACAATGGAGTAACAGTGCACACGCAAGTACATTTTTATTACTGAAAGAACATTTTTATAATGCGTCGCTAAGAAACGTTGTGGGACATTCTGTATGCACTCGGGCTGTTTTCGAGAATCGGCTTCGTTTGCAGCGGTACCGCAATTATCAATTGTCTACCCTTTTTTTTCCCGTGCGGAAATCCCCTCGGATACCACCTATCGGCGGCATGTCGGACTCGAACCGACTAAAACCGCACGCCGTCTCGGGTACTAATAGCCGGGGAACCAGGTATACCCTAAAAAGGAAGTCCCTGGTGCCCCGACATACCTCGGGCCATCTACAGACGAGTAGACGACCCCCCCCCGTGTGGGAACCCCATGTTCCCTCTGCTCCCTGGAAGCTTCGCAACGCGCTCGCCGCCACCCCGGCCTGCTTCTGCTAGGGTGACAGATGGCCTCACCTGTCACCTGGCCCAGGCTTGCGCTTATGGAGGATGGAGGTCGTTCTGCGACCTCCTGCGCCTGAGTCGCCTACCCCTGGCCCGTTCCCGGGCCTGGCGGTCAATTGTCTACCCTCAGCCATACATAAAACTATACCGACACAAAATATTAAATGTAAATTGAAAGAGTATTTCAGTCAAGTCAAGACGTGTTTCTGAAATCATTACTGGTGATTATACATGGATATATCAATATGATCCGGCAAGCAAGAAGCGGTAGTCGGTATGGGCGTTTCCAGATGGCCAGTTGCCAACAAAATTGCAAATATCGCGGAAAAATGGTGGTGGTTTTTTTTACGGAGTGGACATCATGCAGCATCAATGTTAGAGAATTGTAAGTCTATTCATTCAGAATGGTACACTACAGTCGCATTGCCAAAAGTTTTCAAAGATGTGCAGGAGAGACGACCAAAGACCGGGCTCCGGTGAATGATGCTGCAACACGACAATGCGTCTTTACACTCTTCTCTTAAAACAAAGGCGTTTATTCAAGAATCGGGCATTGACCCTACCTCGCCCACCTTAAACCCCAACCTAGTTCCTTGTGACTTCTTTTAATTCCCCACTGTAAAAGATAAGTTAAAAGACAAGTTTTTTTCAAGTACCGAAGAAGCGATGGCTACCTACGAATCAGCCATTTTTGACCTGTCGGAGGAAGACTGGAATAAATGTTTCCAAGACTGGTTTACTGAGACTGAGACTAGTTTGAAAAAATATAAAACAAATTATAAGTGTTTATATTATAAAACCGGAACCTTCCGTGTGGTGACGGATTAAGAATACTGAGCGTCGCCATCCCCATTCATCCCGTGGGTGTCGTAAGAGCCAAATAAGGGAGCAAGCTAATCAGCTCAAAAATACTGCAAAGAGAAGGAAAACTTGACACAAACCTTATACCAACCCGTCTGGCCAGCGTGGTATAGTAGGCCAAAACCTCCTTTTTAAGGTGAGGTCCAGCAGTGGACCATTAAAGGCTGTTGATGATGATGATATTATAAAATGCATTATTAGATAAACGTATAGTATTACGGTGTATAAATACTGGGTGCGTGCAGAGTAAATGTACCGTATCTTCCTTAAAATATCATTGGGTCTACCCCATAACTGGTAAGAGACGAAGAGAAAACTGATGTGCATTTACTTCACCCTTTCTGTATCAGTGCGTATTTGTTTCGTGACGTCATTTATCAGTATGCTTTGGGTTTTTGAGCTTAAAGTTAAAAAGAAATGTTAAACACGAAAATTACTGAAAATAATTAAAGTTTACTAAAAACACATAGATGACACAATACTATAGACAATTGACTGCACGGATGACGTAGTGGTTTAAGCGGTCGCCACGCCGCTTACTACTACGCTATGTGCTGTGGGTCCGATCGCCACATGGGACTACACTTTGTGTGATCCACAAATTGTTGTTCTGAGTCTAGGTGTTCTTTGTGTCCGTTTCATGTATGTTTGTAAAGTCCCCGCGACACAGGATATACTTATTCCTAAAGCGGGAGTTGTCTTTATTACAAAAAAAAAAGACTTAAAATGAATCTGTGTTAGATGCTGGAAAATGATCCTATATAAAATTAAATTTGTTGGGTATGCGTCAAGAACTTCTGTACCAATTGAGAACTTGAAATATTCACACGATGTGCAACCCGAGTATAAAATTCCTAGTAGGTACTAAAATGTGATAACTATTTTAGTGACAAAATTCGATCTAACCCGACACAAGTCGTGGGAAGGTAGTTCATTTAATAGTTCAGGTAAATATAAAGTTTAGTACCATAAATCATTCACCTTCTTCAAATCTTCAGCCCTCAGTACGTGTAAGTCAGGTGGCTCCTCCTTCGTCTCAGTTCTTAGGGTCATGTTATAATGTTGGTATCCACTATATAATGACCCTTTGTTGTGAACATGTTTCCTGCACTGTATCATCTAGTCTTTGGTGCGTACATGGAACTTAAGTTCAAAGGCGCTCGGTACTTGTTGTAAAGGTTGCGCCAGAAACTCATTTGCTGTGGTCGGAAGTCATGCAGCGGTTTCAGCTGTGGTCTCGTGTTGATGTACAGCGCCAGGAGCGGTTCGCGCTCGGCCGGCGGCCACATCGCTCTATTTGATTCCCTGCAACGCAAGTATAATCATCTTTACTTTATATCATATTGTAATGTACATCGAAATCAGCACTTTCTTAAACGTCACTTTACAAATATTTGTTCTCCTTAGAGAACCTCTACTTGAAAGGTTTCCGAGATTAATAAAGGTAAACAACAAAACATACGCGTACGTGACTTACAACGGCTAAACCTATTTAGGGTTCCGTAGTTGGACTAGGAATCCTTATAATTTGCAATATCCGTCTGTCCGTCCGTCCGACCGTTGGTACTAGAAAACTGTCATCATAGTATCATATTATGTATACATTAATAATCTCTAGACCAAATTTCATCTAAATCAGTTTAGCGGTTTAAGCGTGACGAGGTAACAGACACACATACTTTTGCATTCATATTATTAAAAAGAATTTTATAGAGAACTTAGTTAAAAAATCCTTGACATGGAAAAGTGACCCCTACGAAAATATTCTTTTTTATGATATAAATTAGCAAACGAGCAGGCATTCAAAGGATTCCTTAACACCATTTTTGTGTCAATTGTTTTACCTAAATATGACACTGGTAAGAAGATAGACCCAACAGTAACAGCTATTTAACTATAATGTGATAGCACATTTGCCAAGTACTGTCACAAACATATTATTAAGCATGGCTTCAGGGGACTGTTAAAAAACAAGTACAGTCAATGGATAGCTCCTGTAATGCGGGAAGAGCTCTGGACAAGTCGAGGAGTACAGGTCCATCCTGTAGCTGGGCGAGACGAGTCCTGCCTAGAACAGATGCGACGGTACTGTGGACACAGCTTAGCATTCGCGTGAAACAGTAAGTCATCTATATAACTGTAAATTGTGTATGTAATCAAACCCAATACTAACCCATATTTAGCAAAGTTGGTCCATAGAGTTGTCATTGTATTTATCATGTGGTGATCAAACATAGACGGCATAGGGAATAAGCTGAACAAGTAGAAAATGTCGTCCGCATGTGAGGCTCCGTCCTCCCCCCAGAACTTTAAACTCCCTATAAATTTAGCAAAATTTCTCCAACCGGAATACTCAAACATGTAACTATAGACAGCGGGATGGTGACTGGCCTGTAGCAGCAGCTCGGTCTCGGCCTGGACAGGGTACGTGAAGTACGGCTCGCCGTGCAACAATGACAGCTTTACTATATTGTCCCAGGTTGTCTTGTCATCGCCCATGTATAACTGTTTCACCTGTTCTCCCACCGCCAGCCGCTCTGATTCTGTTGGGAAGTACAGATCAAGCGGGAGCGTTTCTTCGAAACGTATATTTTTCAGCGACTGTTCATTTTCGAAAGATGCAAAGTAGTATCCTTCATGATCAGTTGCTCCTATGATAATGGGCACTTTGTTGTACTCTCCTCTAGAGAGCATATCAAATGGCGAGTCTGTTAGAAATGGTTGCGACTCATTTATCTTTCGCTCAATGCACGGCATATATAGTAAACGCAAAAACGCTAATTGTCCGTCCCTTTTCGGTATTTCAGCTTTAAGAATATTAGTTATTGTTTCATTCATAAAGAACTTGTAAAGTTGATGCGTGTCCACGATATCGAAACCCAACGCCTTTGCTTTGGCGATAGCATTTTGTAAAGGTTTATGCTG